AAGACACGCCACCATGACAGTGTGAAGATCGATGCTTCCCAGGTGGAGAGGGTGGCGATTTCTTAGCCATGTCCTGTGCCAGGAATTAGACAACATTTCAGATCTCATGATCAGGGGCGTGATTTATTACATTGGCTAAGGCATGTTAATGAGCCGAAAAGCATACTTTGGAAATATAACCCAAATAGGAAAGGATTGGGATAGGAGACCGGCTCTGATCTCTTGCCTTCGCTGGTTGCCATTTGTAGGGTCACAAGATGGGTAATATTTACCTCCCGGGCTGGAAATGCAGAATGCTGAGGATCCCTCTCGTTATCGAAAGGTTGATGGGCCTGTTTGGGAAGTCGATTAATAGTATCCTCCCTAATGACATGGTTGTCCCCTCTCAAAACACAGCGCTGGAACCACTCATCAAAGGTATCCGTAACGAGGGCTAGAAAGTGATCTTTAACGAATGGCGATGAGTGTCAAAATGCAGATCAGCCCAATCAACATGCATTACCCTGGATACTTTCAGACTTTCTTCATCCAGTGTTGGAGAAGAAGTCTCGCTCTGCTGATTCTTTTCTGTCCCAGACGGTTGCAAAGAAATAGTGATTCTCCTATTTTGAGGATCATTTTCTTGAATAGTCATGGTTGGGTGCTCTGGGTGAAAGCCCACGAGTCCATGGACCTGGTCATGGACTTCCCCCCTTCTTTAGATTCCCGTGGAAAATGCTTGGGTTTTGGATGTCCCCGGCAAACTTCAGCCGGTCAGCCGTGGCGGGTCAGCTTTGAAGGTGGTTTGCACTCCAAGGCTGATCTTCTCTTGCAAAGCTCAACCTGATATGGATTTTTAAAGGATTTTTTTTTCTTTTGACTTTGAGGAATCACATTTCCCAAAGTAGCTATTGAATCAGGGACACTTGATTTAGGAGAGGACTCTGAAAATAGCTGGGAAAGGGTGTCTGACGTGAGAGGGCATCGTGGGCCCAGATGGTAAAATACGGTGCATGTTTTTCTCAAGTTCTTCCAGCCCTTTCAGTGTAGAAGGATGGAGAAGTAGACTTAAGAGGCAGACAGGAGACAGCGAGCACTGAAGTTTGGGATGCAGTGTGTGCATGTGGGCTAGACTGTATTCTGCACGGGTCCACCCCTGAAAGTAATCTCATATGCTCTGATGCATCAGAGAATGTCACTTCATAGTAAGATTTGGCTCTGCTCAGTATCTGCACATGAAGTAAGGAGAGGAGCATCTTCTTTCCCTCCAGGTGGCAAAATGGTTTAAGCCAGCCCTGGGAAGCAGCTTGTCCTGCTTGTAGGCAGATGATCTAATCCCCTGCCCTTCCTCATTTCCTGGGAGTGTTAAAACGGAAGAAGGGAAGCGAGGTCTGCCCCACACAGAAGAGCCCTGGCTTGGTCTACATCTGTTATGGTTCTTTAATGTGGAAGATCTTATTTCATTGAAGGAGTCGAGACCAGAACTGAACAGAGAACTGAGCCAGAAATGCTTCTCTTAGCCCAGTGATATCATGAAAAATGAGAGGATTTTATTCTAATTACTTTTAATTTGAGGCCAACCACCGTATTAACAAGAGGGGCCCAGAGGAAGCCAGAATACCTGCTGTTTTTTTTTTTTAAATGTCCTCTGGTGAATGGCAACGTGGGTTGGATTCTTAGCCGCTTGTCATCTGAGTTTGTTTTTTTAAAAACCAGGAAGCAGAACTATGGAACAAAGGCCAGAGGGGAGGGAATGGCCAGGTCAGAAAGCATTTTGTACCTTAGCAGAATGATTAAGGGGCTGCGTCTCTCCCAGAGATGGGGAAAGTTCGTTTTCTGAGCTGTTCTCTCACTCGTTATCCTAGACATTTTGAACCGAGTGCCTCGAAAATGCGTGTTTTCAAGGCTCCCATTTTGTACCTGCATGGATCTACAGGTTTTATTTATTTATCTAGAACATTTATACCCCACTTCAGGAAGACCGCAGGCAGCTTACAGTACTATAACAAACAGTATTAAAAGCAAACTAGCCAACCCTCAATCAATTATTAAAATATTAAAACCAACCTCAGATAAAAACGGTTTCAAACTGTTCTAAAATGCATTTTAAAAAAATCCTCTTAGCAAGGCAGTTGCTGGGGGAAAAAACCTGCCTAAACACTTTTGCCTGCTTGCAGGAGGATTGCAAAGAGGGTGTCTGCCTGGCCTCCAGTGGGAGAGAGTTGCACAGTTTGGGAACAGCTCAATGGCTAACATTCAAGAACTGTCTTTAAAAAGAGTGCAAAGCAAGAGGGGTTATGTGTGTCCCCCTGCGTATAGAATACATATATGTACAGAGGCCCAAACAGGGTTTGTTTCTTTTGGGAATGTATAACTTCTCCATGACAATGGTGGGCCCCTGTGTGAATTACCCTCTTAATATCAGAAACACTTGGGAACAGTTCAATGGCTAACATTCAAGAACTGTCTTTAAAAAGAGTGCAAAGCAAGAGGGGTTATGTGTGTTCCCCTGCATATAGAATACATATATGTACAGAGGCCCAAACAGGGTTTGTTTCTTTTGGGAATGTATAACTTCTCCATGACAATGGTGGGCCCCTGTGTGAATTACCCTCTTAATATCAGAAACACCAAGAACATGGAAAAAGTCATGGAGAGTGCCGTGGACTAGAACTGTCCTCCCTTATTAGGGTTGCCTTCCGCAAGCAGAGAATTTGTGACGTGGGTCCGTGCATGTGGCCCTCCACCAGCTTCCTGGTGTGTCGTGGCAAGGAGCGCCTCCCATCCTTTGCCCGTTGGAGTTGTTTGATTGCAGGCCATCTGAACGTGGAGGGTTGGCGCCATAACCTGCGTTCCTTCTCTTCTACAGAAAATGAAGCCCATCGTCCAGCGGAGGCGCTCAACGTCTTCTGCCATCAGCAAAGCCCTGAGCAAATCCAAGTATCACTCAAGGTAAGCAACAAACACTCAGAATCCTTCACAGAAGAGTCAGGATGGGGCCCAGATCGTCCTTCATGGGCCTGGCAAGTGAAGGGAACTTAAAACTCTGATGTCTTGCAGTGTTTCTCTTGGTCTCCAGAGAATGGCTTAGACGCCCATCTCCCCCCTCTTCCCAACTGGGGCTCAATGCAAAGACCGTTTGTATTTGTGTCGCATACACAATATTTATTTAGGAGGTGGTTCGGCAAACGGCCCGTCTCACTCTCTCGATGCCAAGACATCTCCTCTCTCAGTGAAACCTCACAACTTCCTCCCCAGGACAGACCCCAGTCTCAATGTGCTTGTGTATTTGTTTTTCTGCTTGTTGTTCAGTGCAGAAAACTACAAGGTTCTAGGCTGCTGAATGTCCTTTGTAGCGAACCCTGCATAGGAAAAATGCTGTCCTGCGCAGGAATGGGAACGTTCTGTGCAATGTGGTATTTCTTCTGGCTTTTCCAGGCAAGTTCTGCTTAGGAGTAGTTCAAAAAATCCCGCACAGTTTAGTATTTCTTTCAGATTAAAAAAAAAATGCCCACAGAACGTCCGAGAAATCTCCAGCTATTTCTTGAGGAGAAAAATAATCTTGCTTAAAGGACAACAGAGTCATTTTCTCAATATTCTGTTGTTGTTGTTGTTGTTGTTGTTGTTGTTTTGGTCCAAGAGTATGAGATGATGAGACTCTGTTAACTAAATACAAAGAACTGGATCCAGCCTTCACACCAAGCCCTCCTTGCACCCCCTGCAGCGAGGTTTGTTGGACCAAGCCACTGTCACAGTTCGGACCACGGTGCAGTAATGAAAGCCAGTGTTTAATTCAAGGCAGATGGAGACGGAGAGTTGGCAGTGGAAAAAAAAGACCTGGCCTGAACCCAGGCGGTTCTGCAACCTTTGTTTCCACCCCACCCCTTGTCCTGTGTGAGAGAAGGAGAGAGCAAGAAAGGGAGAGGGTTTGTCGGAAAAGATGGGATTTTCCAAGCCAAATAAATCATAGCAAAATGTCAACTGCGTATGTTCGATCTGGGTAGGGTGCACATGGGCACTGAGCAGCTGGGGGGAGGGGGGTTTGAGATGCCTCTCAGGGCTTTCCCTGGAGGTCCTTTTCCTGCCACCCTGAGGTCTTCTCCCCCCCCCACCAAAGCTGGCAACCAGCCAACATTGCCAGAAATGCCATCCCGGGTGAGCTATGCCTCTCCAGGTCTGTTGACCTAAGGACTCAATGCCCGACCCTCAACAGCCCCTGCATGCATGCGTACATGTCGCATTCGTGGTGCCCTGGAGGTAATATTGGCCTTAAGCATCCTCGAGGGAAGGCCATCTGCCTTGAGAACGAGAGTCTAAGGTGAGGGTGGACCACCGGGGCCCCCTCTAGAGGTTTTGGGGTTTACAACTCCCATTGTCCCAGTGTTCGGATAATGAGAATTGTACTCCGTGCCAGACTGTATGCATGAACCAAACAAACAGAAAATTTAGTACAGACATCAAAATAGAAAAGAAATAAACAGACAAAAATTGCTAGAGTAATGTCCCATTTTAATAGGGCTATATGAGACTTCTTAGGAGCAGGATGTAGTTAAGGGCTCCGAATATCTTGAGCCATGCCAGGATATATTTCAAAAACATCAGGAAGGCCCCAGTTGCCCAATCTACACCCGCTTGTCGGAGGTTAAGCTCTGTGGAGACAGTGGGTAGATCATGCGCAGATGGCGCTGGTTACGGATTGCTTTTGCTGGCTTGTCGCCTTGAATCGCAACAGATTTCCCCCACGTGGCTGCAGGACGGCATGTCCAGGGCTCTGCTCCTGAACCGGGAGCTGTCCTTGCAGAGTTTAAAGACGTCACCAGCCGTGGGATGATGGATAAAGGAAGACCAAGCTCTTGAGCTGTCTGCTTCCAAAAAGGCCCTCGTAAATAATATTCCCTGGCAGTTTATTTAATTGGAATAAATATTTCTTTTTAAGCCCAAGATAAAAACTTAAATGATTTACACTCAGAACCAAACGGCTTTTTAGGAGAGCAACGTTTTTTATTGTGTGCCACAATTAGTGGCCCTGCTTTGGGGGAAATGATTTGTATGGGTTGCGGGGGGGAGGGCAGGCAGAGATTTCTAAGTGGAAGAAGAAGAATTCTCGAACCGCTGTGCCCTTTCTCTCCAAGATTTACCCCCTCTCTTTTTTTTCCACAAGGAGAAACAAATTCTTGGCTTTATTTGGATGTACAGTAGGAGGGGGGAAACGGCTCCGAACACAGAGGGGCGGAGGGAGATCTTTCCCTCTCCCATGATGGATTGGCCCTTGGGATTTGGGGCAGAAGCATCCATTTAGGGAGGGATGGGTTTCTGCTTTCTTGTGCTATGTGCGGGGGGGGGGGGGTTTTCAAAGATCAAGAACACAACGAGGGCCATAGTATTAGAAAGACGTGGCTTCTAAGCCACTGTGTTGCACAAATATCCGGGAGGGGGGAACCCACCATGCTGATATCAAATTTGTTTATTTATTTAATAATTTACCGCCCAACGGTGCAACATGCCTCCTCTCTTGGTGTTCAGAAACAAGGCACTATGCTGACATCAAATTTGTTTATTTATTTAGTAATTTACATTCTATACCGCCCAACGGTCCAACACGCCTCCTCTCTTGGTGTTCAGAAACAAGGCAGCCTGAAGAGGAAAGAGCTGCCCGCTCATTCTGACAGGAGGTTGTTTCAGTCTGCGTTGAGCCAACTCGCTTGCTTTTTCCCCCCGTTGGACAGTTGAGAGATAGCGTAGCCTGGTTTGCATGTGTGCAGTCTGAGCCATGTGGCGCTGAAAGGTTTGCGTGCCCGGAGGCATCGTGTTTCAAAAAGATCAGCATCTGATCTGGTCCTTAGATCACAGCGAGGGGTGAAACTGAAGGGTGGGGGTGAAGCCAAAGGCCCTTCAGAGAAGGTGTGTTTTTGCGAGAGACATTAAGGGAGGAGAAGGTTGAGGTTTCTTCTGATGGTACCACGTAGAATCATGTTCTTCCACTGGGTGCCTTCCAGAGGGGCCCGGCTGCAGCAGGCATTGTCCACAGCTAGCGCGGTTGGGTGACTGTGAAGGTGACTTCAGGCAGGGAGGCAGAAAAAGGTTTGGGGTGCATTTGTTTAAGGGAGGAGGGGCAGTTAAGAGGCTTCCCATTCTCTACCACGGATTGACTATTAAAACAGCACATTTCTGCACTCAACGTTTTGTCATCTCTGTACAGAATATGCTGTCCTGGAATTCAGTGGCAGGCAATTATTCATTAAAGGAGTGTCTTGGCAAAGACAAGGATAATTGTCACCATTTGTATTATGATTTCTCCTTCTCTTGCTTTTTTATTTTATTTTTGTGTCTAGCAGGGAGACTTTTCCTCCCGCATCTCCTCCAGACAATGGGTTTTTTCCATCCGGGGCTTTCGGGAAGCCCAACGCCGCCTTCATCATGGACGAGCACGTCCAGCTCACCCTGGGGTTCCAGACGCAGGACAGGCATTTTTTCCTCTTCAGCAACCTGCTGGTTGTTGCGAAGTCCAAGTAAGTGTGTCTCGTGTGTTTAATATCCAACAACCGCATGGTAATCTGTCAAGTCAGCGTGGATCCTCCATCTCGGGCTTTCCCCCTCAGGTCTTCTTCCAGTTTGAAGCTGAAGAAGCAAGTGCCTCTGAGCGAGGTGTGGACGGGTTCCTCTCTCAGCGAGGTGTCCGAGAAGAAGCTGAACCCCGAGACGTCTTTTGTCATCGGCTGGCCCACCACCAACTACGTGGTCACTTTCAGGTGAGGCCCGGCGGGGGCTCGGTCCGTTCTCGCTGCCAGAATTTGCACGTTCGGACATTCAGTTCCGCTTCTGGGTGACCAAGAAACAGGATCTGAAATGGACCGATAAAGTGAGAAACGGCAGGGTGTTTCCCCACCATGGAAACATTTGGAATCTCCCAGAACGATGGGCACTGTAGTTCTTAAGGTCCTTGCAAGAGATGCATCCCCTCTGTGTGTTCACAGGCAAAGACCATCATGGCAAGGGGTTTGTTCACTCAGGTGTCTGTGTGGGAGCCCCTTGGGGGCGCATTAGACACAGAAATGACTTTGGGGGGGGGAAATCTCCTGTTGTATGCCAATTATGCTGCTTGGTTTCGTGTTCAACCTTTGGGACATCAAGGCAGGCCTGCACGTCTGACTTCTCAGTCACGAAGGTCTCCCAGAAACCCATATCTGGAATGTTCGCAGTGACTCTTGCTAACTAATGACAGGTCTCAGCGGGTAAATTTGGCCATTAGAATTGGCATCTCTGTGATGCAGGGTCAGGGAGCGAAAGCCGCCCCCCCAAAAAAAACATCCTCTCACCTCCATGCTTCCCTCTCATTTTCAGCTCTCCGGAAGTGAAGGAAAGATGGCTCTCGACCCTTCTGTGGTAAGGCTACTTCCGCCTGCATCTTCTGCCTTTTGGAGTGGATTTTGGGGTGGGGGGACATGTGGGATAGGAATCTGGGGCTGTGGGGAGCCCTCAGTGGCCGTCCTTGCTGGGGCTGGATCCTCCTCCCCCCATTGCAAAAGTGTGGGGCAAAGGACACCACAGTAGCAGCAGAGATGGGAGCAGAGGCAGAGCAGAGATTCTTAGTTGAGGGGCTCACATCATTTGCGTCACACCCCATGGATCCAAAAGAGTGGGGGCTCCTGCTCCCTGCTGACTTTTTCCCCCCAGCATGCCTTGGGGAAAGTCAGTTCTGTGGAGGCAGCTGTCACTTCCGCACGGGTGCCCACCCAACCGAATGTCTGTAGGGAGATCCAGAAGGTGCAAGGAGCTAAAATTAAAATAAAATATTATTTTTAAAAAAAACCAAAATGCCCAGAAAAATTGATAGAGAGTGAGCTGGAATGATTAGTGTTGAGATGTTATATTTGGGAGATGGTGGTTTAAGTCCCACTCCGTCATGAAAACTCCCCAGGTGACCTTGTGGCGGCGGATGGCTTTGAACCAGCAGACCGACCTCACCAGGTTATTGCCAGCCTGAAAGACTGTAAGGGGTGGTGGGTGGGAGAGACAGGCAGGCCCCCTTGAGCTGTCTAGAGGAAAGGGAACGGTATATCTGGAGATGGGTTACTAGTACATATCTTTGAATATCTACTAATCTCCTTCAGATCTACAGTCAGGTTGGTTATCCTGAACCTGCTGGGACACAGCTTCTCTTAACAATGTGTTTCTGCAACGCAGGCACATCAGCGAGATGAAGGAGAGGGAGTTTCCCAGGAGCCTCTCCATGCAGATTACGTTGGTGGATGGCGAAAACAACCCCTCGGTGAGTAACAAAAGAACAGACAAGCAGAAACGAGGAGGGATCCAGTGGAAGGAAGCAGAGGGAGAGGGAGGCACCCCCCAGACCTTGGTCTCACGCTGGAAACAGGGATCAGTTCATCAGACATTCAGCAACTGTAGCACTTTCTGTAAAGTCAGTGTATTCATTGCCTTTCTGTCCTGATTCGTATCAGAGTGTTGAATTTGAGGCATTCATAGCTTGCCACTTAAATACCATTCTGGAATGAGAACTGTGTCCATAAAGTGTTGCGTTTCTTCATGATTCAAAAAAGAAAATACTATGGAAGGGAGAGAGAGAAACACTGACAGTATTTCTCTGATCTTGAACGGACTCTGACGTCTAAAGTTTTGATCCGGAAGCCGTTCTGGAAGCACGGAGTTTGGGTTGAATCTTGTTCAGCCGGGTCCCGTTGCTATGCCTAACTTAAATAGGAGAGACTCCCCAGGGGAGCATAGCCTGGCAAGGAGGAGCTTATGTTCAGTGCCATATTGAAACATTAGCTGAATGGACGAGGGTTTTTCCTTTTATGTTCTTCTGGAAGGCGCTGTGGCAGTCCTTAGCTTGGTTTGCAAGCAATGGTGTCCCTAATCTTTTCTATCACATCAGCAGCACTACTTCAATGTGTGTCTCTGTCCTCTCTCTGTAGAACACTGTGGCCAGTGTCTCCAATGTGGAAACCGCAGACGGGGTCATCAAGATGGCGACACAGCAGCTGGGGCTTCCTGTAAGTGCAAACTGAAGGGGGGGGGAGAGAGAATCAAACTGGGTGACACAGACCGTGCTTTGTGAAAAGCTGGAAGTCCCTCCAGATGTTGTTGTCCAAACCGGCAGGCTTACCAGCAAAGCCAGGCACCCAACAAGCAGGCGGATTTCAAGAATACTTTAGCTGTGAAATCCTGACACTGGCAGGGGGAGGGACGAGATGATTCACGAGATCCCTTCTTATCCTACTGTTCTGTGATTCTAACTTGCAAGCTGTCGGAGGTCCATCAAGGGTCTCTTCAGCGCTTAAGGAATTCACCTTAAAGGGCCACGTCATTTGATGACAGTTGGTGTCACACAACGGCTCTCCATTTTTATTTAGATGTCATCAGATTCGGTCCCTCACATCAAAAGGCTGGTTGCTGGAGACAAGCTGCTCTGAAAGGCATCCAGCTGCCCCTTTCTCTCCATTGCTCCTCCATTGTGATTTTCGGGAGGCAGATGGCACCCGGCTGCTGGGCAGGTGGTCTGAACGGTGGTTTATTTCCCCTTGTGGCCACACCCTGAGTTCCTGCTTTGGGAGGCAGATGGCACCTGGCTGCTGGGCAGGTGGTCTGAATGGTGGTTTATTTCCCCTTGTGACCACACCCTGAGTTCCTACTACCACCGTGCGGGCAGCCCGTGACCGGCCCCTTCCACCCCACCCCCCCAAAGAGCTGTGTGTGTTCCCACACCTCTGGAACATGTTTCTCCTTCTTGGCGGATCATGGGAACCGTCTTCTCTGAGGTTTGAACCCCGCCAGCTCAAGACGTGGCCAGCAAAGAAGCAAACGGTACCAGCTTTGGAGTCTATGAATGGGCCGCCCTGCGCTTGAACTACGTTGTGCATCTGTCTGGCCTTTTGCAGGCTGTAAAAATGTTTGCTAGGATTCCTCTCTTTCCTGGCCTCCTTTCCTTCTCTCGACTCAGCCAAGCCCCTTTCCTCTGGATACGAGAGGAAAGCCAGTCCCTCAATTGTTTTCTCAATGATTTGGAGCCATGGACTTCCTGGACCTTCATCCGACCCCTCTGGCCTTCTGGTTCCTTGTTCCCTTCTGGCATGGCTTTCTGCGCTCTGTCCAGCATTGCTCCCTTTCCCACAACCTGACTTTCTATTCCCTCCCTTCCCAGGGCAGACCAAGTGACTATCACCTGTGGGTCATATCAGGAAGAGACCAACCCGCCTACCCTCTTATTGGTAAGAATATATCCGTGCTCTTGAATGGATAAAGGCTGTGCAATAGTATTTCACTCCATAAACAATGCCAGGGCAACCTCTGAACACAAATGGGAAATTATTTGTTTGTTGTTATGTGCGCCAGGTCGCCTCTGACTTATGGTGACCCTACGGACCAGCCATCTCCAAATTGTCCTGACCTCAAGCTCAGATCCTGGAGACTCTTTTTCCTTTGTTTTCACCTATAGTCTTTTTTTTAACCTTATTTGTGTCCCAATAAAGGAACACAAGGCAGAATATATAGCCATTTTTAAAAAGTCACGTGACATTAAAGAATAGATTTGCATTTAATTTCTGCAGTGCTGAAGTCCTGCACTTTTTAGCACCTGGCCTGCTGCCCTATAGAAGCAAGTCTGAACTCCTGAGGTATGGAGAGGGACCTTTCAGTAGGGGATGCTGAGGGAGCATCTAAATACCTGGTCTAAGGCCGTGTTGGCATATCTTCACATTGGCCCATCGCAAAAGGGCCATTCTGGCGCAACCAGTGGGTCCAGGGCAGTGCTCTGAAATAACATCTGTGGGAGAATGGAATCGGCCAAGGATGATGGATGTCTACGGTAATGCCTTGGGAGAGGCGTTGCCGCAATCCCCATGGTGTGTGTTGGGGATCCTGATCTTAGACTGTGGACCAAAGGTGGTTTCCAGAATAAATGAAGGGCGGCAAACTCGACACCACGCTTTCCTTCAAATGCGACTCACTGTTGATAAAAGGAGTGATCAACAAGTTGGCCCCGATGGCCAACAAGGACGGGAACAACAACAACAACAACGGCAACAATAAAAAAGCAAAGCTCTTTTGCCTTCTTCTTGTTTGCTTGGCGACCTTAGAAGAATGACGCAAGGCGAAACATACAATTCAGATTAGGCCAAGTGTTTACTTTGGCTAAAGGGTATGTGGCACGAGTTTGCAACTTTTTCCCATCCTGTTTCGGAACAGATTTCTATTATTACATGTGACCTTTGCGGGATCGCATTTGGGGAAGGACCCTTTGGACAAAACGGGAGTCCGAGGAGATCTTTGATGGGGCTCAGGATGGTTCGGTTGTTTGGGGATTTTTTTTGTGTGAGAAACACCCCCTTCCTTCCAACTCAGTCGGGGCTTAATAATCGTTAAGATGCCGCTTCGGACTTTGTGATGCAAGTGGCTGTTTATCCTGCCGTGGCTCAGGGCTTTGAAATCTGCTCTCCAGGGAGGACATGGAGGTGCAGCCTCAATCAAGTCCTTTGCCTGAGCTTAGTTCCGGGCTGCGTCTAGCTGAAAGCTGGGGTAGCCGGGGCTGCCATCAGTACCATACATCTGGGGTGAAAGATCTGTGGAGCTGATGGTTTGGGCAAGCCAGAATGAAGCAGACGCAGTTTGACTCTCCAAAGAACGGGCTTTTCACCCATGCAAGACCTCGAGCTGGCCTGGTTCAGAAACAGAGAGGGCGAGCTACCACCGTTGCACGCTCTCCCTGTTGCAACGCAAAGTATCTGAGGATGAACTGGGTCCCGAATAAGCAATTAAGAGCCATTCGCTTTACAAAAGAGCTGCTCCTCATTTCTTAAATACAGATGAATCCAACAGTCTGCATTTTTGAACTTTGTTTGGGGTGTCTGGTAAGGAGCACCCATAGTTCCAGATTAACTACTGCTGTGCCGCTGGTGATGAATGTGGGAGGCATTTCTGCTCGATGTCTCTCCATTCATTCATTTGACACATGCTGTGTTTTTAATTTCATTAGTCCAGAGCTAATTCAGGGGGAATGTGCTGAACTGGTTATTTTCCCCCAGTTGGCTGGAATACTGACATCTTGCCTGTCTCTGCAACAGGTCACGAGCATCCTTTCAGCATAATTCTCAGCTGCCTACAAGACTCCGTGGACCAACTCCGGGGAGCGAACAATAACGCCCTGCTGGCCGATGAGTATGAAACTTTCCCTCTGGAGCAGCTCCCCAGGGACAGGCAGTGCCAGTTCATCTTGAAACCCAGGCCCCCTGCTCCGGTGGCCCTGCGGAGAGGTAAAGAGTCATCCTGAGTCTCGCTCAGCCCTGTGTGAATGTGTGTGTGTGTGTGTGTGTGTAGCTTCTGCCCAGTGTTCTCTGACTGTACAGGAGCCTTTTCCTCTTCTGAAGAGTGACAGCAGAAGACTCATGTTTGTGGGGAGAAAGAAGCGATGAGTGGGAAGGGAGCAATGAACCACCACCCCTCCGGTGCAGTTACTGCTCCAAAGGCAGAGGAAGCCACTTGGGGTGATTAGCAGCCAATGACCACCAACTCCCTTGTTATAATAGGAAATTAGCAACTGTAGTTTGAAAAAAACTGCAGAATGGCTCTGTCCTGGAAGCAATTAGAACATCTCTGAGAGCAGAAATGGGTGTTACAGGCAGCCTGTGGTTCAAAGCAGGAATTCCCTAACTGCTGAAAACATCTGAGTGCACAGAAGATTTTCCAACCTCATGTGACTTATAAATTACTTAGCTTTGTTTCCATAATGGGTCTTTAGGACTTAATGCTTGAGCTTCCCCTGAAGTCTGAGTTTCCAAACACAAGCATGTACCTCCTCAGCCGTGTCTCTCTGACACTCAGGAGCTTTTCTCTCTCGCTGTGGGCTAGCTGTATTACCATCTCTTCCTGTGTCCCTGGTGCACAGTTTATTGTTCATGATCCGTTCTTTGCAAAGGAGTGCCTTCCAACCTAAGGGGGTCATCTGTGTTCTCAGACGCTTTACAGAAACACACCAGGAGGAAGAAATCTCTGATTGACTGGGCTCTTCGCCGGAGCACCAGCACCCCAACGGGGAGCCCGGCCTCTCAGTCCCCCACCAACACACGGAAACTGTTCGGCCTCTCCCTGACCTCGGTTTGTCCTGATGGAAGTCTTCCCAAACCCATTATGGTAAGATCATGGCTCCTGAGTTGTGTGATTGCCTCCGTTTTGCTTTCTTTTCTAATCCCATGCTCTTTGGTCACCTCTCCACAAGGGCGAAGAATTTTAATTCCACGTCTTTTTCATAAATTCCCCCCCCCCAAATTTACAACTTCTCTCTTACCTGGCCCCCAAAACCCAGCACTGGGAATGGACAGTGAAACATCCCACCCGCCCTGGTGCCTGTTTTGCCTAGAATGCAAGAACTCAAGCTGACGGTTCTCCCTGTTGAGCTGCCAATGAAGGCCGTGGTCCTTGGCTTTTCCTCCTCAGGACATCCTTCAGCTCCTCTACCACGAGGGTCCCTCCACGAGGGGCATCTTCAGGCGCTCGGCCAACGCCAAGACTTGCAAGGAACTGAAAGAGAAGCTCAACGCTGGAGATGATGTCCAGGTGGACGGTGAATCTGCCTTCGTGGCGGCCGCAGTCATAACGGTAAATGAGTCGCCTGCGCGATAAGCATTTGTGAGGGTTTTAAATGCTAGGGCGGGGAGATCCGAGGGGCTGTTTAAAGTGACGCAAGTATTGCCAACCTACGTAGCCTTGGGCAAGCTGCCCAGTCCCAGGGTGCCCCAAGAGGAACAGAACAGTAAATAACCTATAAATAAGAACAGAAAGTAATAAAAATGTACAATTGCACAAATTGTGTAAAAACCGGCAATTTTGTGCAAAACGCATTGTTCGTACCAGTGTGAAAGCTTGGTCAAAAGTGCCAGGAAACTCCCTGGAATCCTCTCCAGAAGAAGGAAGGCTGTTCCGGTTCCCTGTCTTTTCTTACAAAGATCACCCAAGTGAGGATTTACAGGTTTCGTTGTCAGCTGTGTAACCTCGAACTAGCAGGGGATATATTTGTAGTCTCTCTCTCTTTCTAAGCGGTGTCTTTGAAAGCAAGCCTGAAATTCATGCTTTTGTAGAGAACAGTATTCAAACTGACTCAAAATATTCTGAACGACTGACCACATTGCTCTGCATATGTATATTTAATTTAGGATTTTCTGCGAAATATACCTGATAGTGTTCTATCCTCAGACATGCACGGGCTGTGGATGGAAGCCATGGATAAGGAGAATCGAGCGCATAAGGTTGACGCTATCAAAAGGTTGGTCTCTATTCTTGTCTGTCTGCCTCGAAATGAAATATCACATGCTTAGGGCAGGAAGAATAAGAGAATAACAGAATTGGAAGGGGCCTCTAAGGTCATCAAGTCCAACCCCTTGCTCAATGCAAGAATCCAGATCACAGCAGATCTGACAGATGGTTGTCTAATTTTCTCTTGAAGGCCTCCAGTGGTGGAATGCTCACGGCCTCCTGAAGTCATGGGTCCCATTGTCATACTGCTCTGACTGTTAGGATGATTTTCCTGACATTCAGTTGGAGAAGGAGGCACAACGATCTTGTTGACATTCCATCACATACAGTCATTCACAGGACTGGGTTGTGAGGATCTGAGTCCTTCATCCAGGCTTTTACATCAGCATAAATGTAAATCGGTTGTATAAACTGGAGCAGCAAATTGCCCAGCTAATGAACAAAAGTCGATGCTCATATTCCCAGTCATAAGCCAGTCCCACAACTTGGCATCCGACCAAGGACATGAGTGGTGAGAGGCTAATTAGCAGCAATTCACTTTTCCCGATGTGTGCCGTTGTATTTATGCCAGTGTAAATCCCCAGTAAGATTATGGCTGTTATATTCAGAACAAAAAGAACAACATTTCTGAGCACCTTTGGTACGCACAAGAAGTTCATTAGTTTTTTAATGGATGTGTGAATGATATGCGGCCTGGCTGTTATATTTCAGAACAAAAGGAACAACATTTCTGAGCACCTTCGGTATGCACAAGAAGTTCATTCGGTTTTTAATGGATGTGTGAATGATATGCGGCCAAACTAAGGTGGATTCCACAGGAAGATTTTAGTTGCAGGGGATTTGTAGGGAACCGTTGTATCTGGAGAGTTTGTGTGTTCACTGTTGTCGTTTTCCTTTGGGCAGGTTAGTGAGCCAGCTGCCGGAAGCCAACCGCCTGTTACTCAAGCATCTCTTTGGAGTCCTGCATCACATTCAGCAGAACGCCATCGAGAACCAGATGAACGCCTTCAACCTGGCTCTCTGCATCGCGCCCAACATGCTGTGGCTTCCCAGTCCGACAGGGCCAGAGGAGGAAAGCAAGTCTACAAAGAAGGTAGCTGCTCTTCCTGGGTTTCCGCCTTCTCTCAGAGATTCGCTTACCTTGAACTCTGCAGAGAATCACCTCTTTCTGAAATACGGCTCCAAAATCACTGTCAACTTTATGGCCCAACTTGGTGCCTTACAAAAACGGTGGATCAGGAAAGAGTACTCTATTTTATTGATTTGTTGTGTTCATACCCTGCCTTTCTGTTTAAAAATAGTGCTCCAGTCAGCTTACAAACTTCTTAAAAGAATAAAAACAGATTTTAAAAAGTACAATTGCAGTTACTAGTATACTTACTACTAGAGAGGTGAGGAAAATCATGTGTTTCTTGGGGAGATGCACCTGCAGAAAATATGAGAAATGCCTAGATTAAGGTGTTCTACCTAGGTTTTAATGGTTCCCCACCTTGGGTCCCCAGATGGACTATAACTCCCAGAATCCTAGCATGCACAGTTAGTGGTGAAGGCTTCTGGGAGTTGCAGTCCAGGAAGATCTGGGAAACCCAGGCTGGGATCCACTGGTTTAAGCCCTCTTTCTCCCATGTGGTGCCCTCCGGATGGGTTGGGCTATAACACCCATCGTCTTCAGCCGCCCTGGCCAATATCATGCCTTCAGGTGTCCACCTGGAACCAAGAACTTTTCTTCTTGCCTTCTAATAACGCTGGCAACTGCTTCTCCGGACAGGTGGCTATGCTGGTGCAATTCCTGATTGAAAATTCAACGGAAGTTTTTGGAGGAGACATTGCTTCCCTGTTCCAAAGGCCGGAGAAGAAGAAGAAGTCCAAAAGTGTGGATGATTTGCTGGGTAAGGCCATGCCTGAGGTCCTGATTCTTCCGAAGGGTCTCTGCGCTGTCTTTCCAGGATACTCAAGTCAGCTTGCATTCAAGAACGAAAGCCATCAATTGGCTGTGGTCAACTGCGCTTTCACTCAAGTGGCTGTCATCCTTATTATGCCCGTATCCCTTTGTCCTTCCTCCACATGAGGTGGACGCAAGATTAGACAGATTAGAGCGGACTGGACAGAAGCAAATCTAGGCCTTTTTAAATTTTGTTTCATTTCGGTTGGTATCTAGCATCTCCTTTTGTGTGTGATCTCGTTTTGCCATTAAACCCCTAAAAAATTAATTTGCCCCATCAGTTTCATCGGGATTGGCCAACTTAGTCCTGTTCTGATGTGTAGCATCTAAATGATGATTTAGTGGTGTTGAAAACCCTGAGTTATGTTTAAGCCGTTAGTTGGGGAGTGGTCCATTCCTCTTCCGAGGCGTGGGGTGTGTGATGTCTGTCTCTCTCCTTCTCCCGGCAGTCCAATGCAACGATTCCTCGGATGACATGGAGTATGCCACCCCTTACCAGGAGAGAACCAAGCAGCATTATGGGCTTGATGCCGAGGATGTCCTCTTCGGCCCCTCAGCAGAGCTGCTCCTCAACAAGGACCAAGAAGACTGGGACCTCTTCAGCGAGATCACCGCTTGCTACCAAAGCAAAATGAAGAAGGAGAGCGCAAGCGCCGACAGCTACGACCTCCTGGAGGAAGAGGTGGGCTCCTTCTGTTCCGCCGGCTCCCTCTGCTCCTTGAGCCCGGCCAGGAACCGATGCTCTTCCGAGCCCAGCGTCTGCCTGAGCTCCCAGCTTCTTCCTCCAGAGCACGAGCCGGTGGCCCGGCAGTCCAGCTGTGACGCCACCATCATGAGCAGTCACGGCAATTACATCCGCCGACTGAAGGAGCTGCAGCTGGAGAGCCAGAAGCTGCTTGATGAAGGCTTGAGCCCCAGCCTGAGCAGAGCCAGGAAGAGCTTCTGGAGGTCTCCTCCGAGCAGCAACGTGGCCAAGAAGCCGGACCCGCACAAGGCGAGCTTGTCCAACAGGTCCAGTTTCTCCAGCCTCTCTTCCACCACCACCTCCCCGTCGGCGTCCTCCCTCAGCTCCTTGGATAGCGCTTTCTCCTACTGCTCGGAGTCCTCTGCCTTCAGCCCCACGGACGTCCCAAGCCTGCCCTTCATGTTTGGCACTTCGGCTCGGCTCCAAGCCTTCTCTCCCAAGGTGGCCAAGAAGTCCCTCAAAGAATGGCATAAGCCCATGGTCTCCCCTTTGCCACTTAACCCTTGCCACGTGGACTTCTGTGTCGGGGAGCAGGTGGGAGGCCAAGAGAGCAGCAGCCAAGGGGAGGGGAGGGTCTTCATGCCCGTTGGCGCCACCGGTAGCCCAGCTGAGGAAGTCAACTGGGACGAAGACAAGAAAGAGCCGTGGCAGACCGAAACCCTCTCCCATCCTCTTGGCATCTCCAGTTCCGTCCAGCCGGGCGCCATGGGTCGCAGCCCTGTTGGCCGGCGCTCGCCTCTGGTGAGCCGGCAAGACCACAGGGAGAAATCGGTGAAGCACATAGAGATAAAAAGCCCCGAAGCTGCCCCTCGCGGCCAAGAGAGCTTGAAGCGCACCAAGATAACCGTCTACATGGCTCCCAAAGAGAGAAGAAGTCCATGTGAGTCCCCAGTGGGGCAAAACGGGCAGGATGCGGCCACAACAGACCAGGGCTCAGTCTCCGGGAGCATCTGCCGAGGACTTCCCAAGAGCCCCCAGACATTGAGGGCTCATATTCCGCAGACAGTCTTTTATGGGCAAAACGCTCCCTTGGTCCTTCAGTCCACCGCGCGAAGGTACCACCACGAATCGCTGAGCCGGACATCGGAGGTGGTGATGACCCACGGTCCTTTCCTGGCGCAGGAGCCGGAGCGTGTCTCTCGACAGCCGGGGCTCCACCTCGAGAGCCAGGGGAGCGGAAGTACGTTTAGCCACACCTTCCACATCTTCCTCCCAGCCTCCGTGCGCAACACCATCCACGGATACTTCAGCCAGGAGGCTTCCAAGGAGTACTGCGTGGCCGGGGTGGAAACAGTGGAGAAGGAGCTTCTCCGGAACAGGGTGGAGTGGCTTAGGAGCCAGTCCTGCCCTTCGGGAACCCCGGCGGAGGAGCCTCAGAGCCTCCTGGTTGCAGAAGAGACTTTTGTCTAGGGAAAGCCACACTGCCGCCTCATTGGGGAGCGGGGGGGGCAGGATGGGTTGTATCTGTAAGACCTGTTGTGTAAAATACAAGATGTTGAGAGTTTAACGGGCTGCCTGAGTCGGCACACGTGCAAAATAGCTTCCACTACGTCACCCATAGCACCCTCCCTTGAATAATCTTCTCCCCGACCCAAAACAAAGAACAGGAAAAGCTGCTTCTTTGCTCAACGGTGCTCCTTGTTGACGGATTACCTTGAGTTGAAGGCGACGCGAAGTTTTCCAGTTCGGCATCACAGAAAGAAGAATCGGTAGGAACCTGGGGAGGGGGGGTGAGAGGGGGTCTTGTTCAGATGAAAAGCTTTGGTTCCATTCCTTTTGAAAGTAACAATGAACCCAAGGACCTGGAGGGTCACCTCATAAGCTCACCTTTTGAAAGGCATTCTCTCTTTGCCCCCTCCCACAAAGGCACATGGATTAAAAATGCCACAAAAAACTTCACCAATGTTTCGCTTCGCCACAGGGATGCTAAGAGAAATGTAAACATGGCCATGCCATTTAACTCCAGTTTTCCCTTTCCTTCCTGTGTTTCTCTCTCTCTCTCTTTTGCTGATGCAGGTGTTTGCTTTTATTTGTACCTAATTTTTTTTGGTCTTGATTGCTCCTTGGTTGTAAAAAAAAACCTCCCACAAGCCATGTTATAGAGAAAATCCTGGGGAGCAAAAACAGGAATAATCCCTCATATTTGTGGGAAGTAGACTCTCCAAGTTTTCCACAGGAAATTCCTTAAGTGTAGGTCTCTTGTTTCATGGTTAAGCTAGGGTAGTGAAAGGAACCCCATCTTTCCCACCCTATGAAACAAATGTCACATTTCAGGATCGATCTTGAATAATCCCATGTCTGCAATGCCTGGCTTTCTTCATAGGAGACACTTTGCCCACCTATTTATTTACTGGGCCTTAAAGGGGAAAACGCAAAATGAAGGTGGGATTTTCATGCCCATGTATTTATTTACTGGGCCTTAAAGGGGAAAACGCAAAATGAAGGTGGGATTTTCATGCTTCCAAGCTGTCCTTTGTTTGGCTGAGGTTTCAGTTTAATTCTTTACCATTTTCGGAAGAACTGGAGAGTTTTGGTCTTGTGTGGTATCTGTGGATTCGTGGAAGGAGGTGTATGAGATGGCTGAGTAGGTGTTGAGTAGGTGCTGAGAAACGTTGACCCTGGAATGGCCAGCGGGTGGCTTTCCTACCTGGCAGAGGGCTCTCCTGGAATATGCCAGAGTGGCTTTACAGCACTTTGAAACACCAGGCAAACGCACTAGAGTAGACCTATCGCATCAAATGTTAAGTCAACTCTTCCATTGGGCCACTGGGTCTACTCTAGAGGGGAGTCACAAGAAGGTGCCAGCCAAAGGCTCTGCACAGCCTGGTTCCAAGCCTGTCCCTATTCTGGGTTGCTTTGGATGAAAATCAGTCCTTTAAAGAATAGGTGGGATTTATTAAAGGCTCACACAATGCTCTTCTCTTTCAATGATGGGTGGGTGCTTAAGGATGGATCTGTCCATCATTTGTCAAGCGGAGTTTGCATAGTCACCTGTTTAACACGTGCCCCACAAGAATGTTTGCTAATTTTGAAAGGGAGAGAGAGAAGAGTGTTCCTAACTCTGCAGGATTCTTGCTTTATAGAGTTCAAGATCTACTCCCCAGGACCTCTCTTTTTCCTGTCTCCCCCCCCCCAACTTTGTTACATCCAAGTTAATGGTGCTTATACGCTGCCCGCTGCTCCCCACCAGGGGAAGAGGACACATGGATACAAAGAAGTAGAAAAACAGCACAATAATTGAAAACAAAACCCCAATTATGGCTGACAATATCTCTGGCATATACCAGGACAGTTCTATTTGTGCCCTGGACTGTAATGACTTTAGGGTCAAGACCTGTCTTGTGTTAATTTTAGGGTAAACAGAATTGAAGCCAGCTTGCCTGCTGGCCGTGCAGGTCCTTCCCAGCTGGAATCAGGCTGTGGGCGCTGCGGCACATCTGTGGGACTGGGCACAGGTCTGTGTGAGTTTGCTCAGAGGTAAACTTCATGGAGCAAGGTTGCCCAGGGCTGCAGATATAAGGGCACAGGCTAAGAAGTGGAAATCAGAGATGGCAGCTTTTGCTAAGAAACGTGCAAAGGGAGGAAGAGTTTGAAGTGAAATATTGTTGAAAAGTTGTGGAAGTTGGGTAAAGAAAGTGCGACCATTTAAATGGTTTGTTTCCTTTCACGGCCAGTTTAGGGAGCCTTGTTCCATCCTTAAGGGTGTTCATGGGCTCTCCTGAAGCCACCTTTCTGTCATGGACTGGAAAGAAAAGATTGTCTCTCGCAGGCTATTAGGAAACACCCCCTCCCCCAAAAAACCCTCTGCTCACTTTGTTTTGTGGCTGTTATTTTGAAGTGCAAACCCTCCACCATCAATACGGTTGTAAATAATCCAATAAAAGAAGCACGGTTCTGTTTTGTTGTTATTCCTTTGCATTCTTGTCAACGAGGGCTTGAGGTGACAATTTCAGTTTGGTCAAAGGGGGACCCGATTCTCCGATTGCTGATATTTGACTTTTAAAACCCGAATGCTTTCACGTAGCTGAGGAGTCACGAAATACACTAGTAGAAAAGGTGTGCTCTTAATTAAGCCTTGCGCTTGTCAAGGAATCATGGGCCAAATTTGGGATTTATAGATCGAAGATCCTTTTTAAAAAAAGAAGCCACCATGTTTGGGATAATGGGTTATATTGACTTATTCTAGTCCTTGGGAACAAACCAGCCAACGTTTTAAGCATTCAAAGACTTGTGGATTTCAGAGGCTAATCAGAAGATTCTTAACTCTTTCTCGCTGAAAGGAGATGTCAGAATGCTCACTCCTACACCTGAACTTTGGTGATCTTTGTCACTCTCTCTCTCTCTCTCTCTCTCTCTTTTCTGCAGCCATTGCATTTTTTCAGACCCTGATTTTGTGTGTTTGGCTGTGATCGCCACACTGGCCCTGCTGAAGGGAAGTATGCCTCTGTTTTCCTGATCGCAAGCCATCCATTTATGTTGCGTCAAGACTGAGCAAGGCATGGTCCATCCTAAGTCTGGCCATAAAAGTGATCCAACAAAGGCTATTGGGGGGGGGGAATCACTGAGAGCAGGAGGGCTTACCTAGGAATCTCCTTATCTCAATGTTCCAAATTCCATTGGCATGACGGGAAGGGAGAGTTCATCTTTCTTTGAAGGAAGGAAGATATGCCGCCTGTATTCCAAGAATAGCAACCTACTGGTCCAGTGTTAAGCCCAAAGAAGGAGTTTTGGCAGGGTCTGGAAGTTCCCATGGAAATGAACATGAGCAGCCATCCAATGGGTGTCTTGTGAAAGAACCACCAATAATTCGGAAGGAAGGACTTTGGTGTGTTTATTCATAAAAGGAGGGTGGGATCGGTCAAGGAAGCATACACTAGCTTTGCCTGACATGCTTTCCGTCCCGTTCATTTGGGGGTTTGATGCTCTCATTGGCCATTATTCAAGGGTATTGGGGAATTGGGGTCTGTGTCCTGCTCCCTTCCTCCAATGCATTGTTCGGTTGCAACATAAGCTGGTAAGTAAAGAAAGCTTCAGCTATGCAGGATTTAATGGAGTGAATTTGTTTCATCTAGAATTAATGACAGTTAATATTCCAAGGCAACTGAAGGTTCACTTCCTTCAACAAGGCAATGTGTGAGGATCTAGATTAGCTCTGAGGAAATGGAGTAGAGGATGAAGTGACCTTAGCTCTCTTTAAGGGCTGGCATGAGAACCAGAAGTGGGCACTTAGTGTGGGTAGTACCAGCACATGGACCAGGAATATTGATGACCCCATGGAAGAATGAGACACGGTCTCAAACTTGAACCCATGTGGAGAAAGAAATTTGCAAGAGATGAAACAGGGTTTCTTCATAGGGTCGCCATAAGTCAGACATGACTTGACACAGTGACAGTCAGGGAAGTCTGTAGTTGACCATAAAACCATGCTTTAGCAGCTTAGGGATGTCAACAGGATCCATGTTCAAAAGAAACATACCCCATCTTTTTGGGCTGAAAGCATAGCTTTAAGGCCCATTCTCTTGAGGCAACGAAGAAGCACCGTAACAAGAACTCAACCATTTTCTTAACATGCTCTTTATTTGAAATGCAAAATGGATTGCTACCGAGAAAACAGGATGCTGATGCCATTCATGACTGACTCATACAAAATCTGCATTTAAGAGGAATTTGTATACATTGATGATTAAAATTGCTCAGGGAATCAAGCCATTCCGTAGGTTCAATAGCTTTGGGGTTCTCCCTGAGCAGTTCCTGGGAAACACTCTAATATATATATATGTGCTTGCAGTTGAGACCCTTGGCTTGGTGACTCCCTTGGAGAGAGAGAAAAATCACTCATCAACGTGTGAACAGTGTTTGTTCAGTCCCTTGTAAGGTGAAAAGACTGACTGGGATTCTTAGAAGGTAAATATTAATCCCCAAAGTCAAGATGACCTTCAGAGACAATGTTCTCTCTCTCTTATGCACGCATGTATTTCATCCAGAAAATAAATGTGATGACAGAGTGATGTGAATGAATATATATATAAATATATATAAAAGCAAATGTGAACACTGAAGTGTCTCCACCCCATAAACGCCATTCAGCAGAGGCCGAAGGTGGGTTACCGCTTGCTTTGTTTTTCTGCCTCCAGTTCCTTCCGGAGGTCCGAGACCTCCACAGGGACGTGGACGGTCAGCCCGTTCATCCACTTCTTAACATGCACCTGGCAGCCCAGGCGAGACCTAAGAAAGTTTGCAGAAACAGAAGGTGTTGAGGGAGAAAGGGGGAGGGGCTCACAAATGCCTCCCCTAATGGCAACGCGGAGGGGTAACGTACAGCCTGCGCTCTCATGCTAGCCCCTTCCCCATGAAAACTCTCTGATATCCCTGAACACCCACCCCTGGAAAAAGAAACGGACCATTAAAAAGTCTGAAACTCTTCCCAAAACTGAGAATTACAGGAAAGTTTATCCCATTCAGGAGGGCAAAATGCACTCCTGGTCTGTGGGGCTGAGAACAGTTCACAACCTAAGCTGAACTGTGACACACATTTTGATCATCTTTTTTCCTATTTTTGAACAAGGGCTCCCCCAAGTGGTGAATTTTGTCACAGAACATGATTTTCATCACTGACCGGTCTTGCATTTAGCATGCTTTGCTTTGTGATTCTGAGGCCGTTGTCTCTGAAGAACCTCATTCGAGGAGGAAAGGGGTTGAACTGCGGGGAATGTGCATCCCCTTAACATCCAGTCTGCCCCCAAACCTCCCAGGTTTTGTGATGGAATGGAGGGGATTAGAAAAGACCCCTGCACCCAACAAGACATATGGCACAGCTCGCCAAAGGGGGTTGGCCCCAGAGGAAGGAGGATCCAGAGGGAGGCTACAGAGGCTTACGTGTCCGTCAGTCCAAAGGCCAGGTCAAGCATGTCCAGCTCTTCATCACTGGTGGGGCCCAGCTGGCGGAAAGCATCCTCCTCGAAGATGAGGTGGCAAGTGGAGCACGCGAGCGCACCTTCGCATGCACCTGCGTGAGGAAGGAAGGATCAGGGCCCCTCTCCCAACTTTCCACTGGGTCCAGCAGAAGGCCCCCTTCCCACTCTGTTCTTCCATATTTCTATGACTGCATTTATTTATTTATGATTGATTTCTTAGATTTACATACTGCCCCAATAGTACGATGCACGACTCTCAATAGTTTACACTACTATTATATGCTTCTGTGAGGTTGTGGGAGGCAGGGTAGAAAAGAACACGAGAGGTAAGGAGTGACAAGTGGAACGTCTGAGGTGTTTCTCTCTGCTCTTTCCTGGGTCATTGCAGCAGTGCCTGTGGGGTCCTGAGCAGCTTTAGACTTTTGCTAGAAATGAGGAAGTCCTCATTCCTTAAGAGTCAATTCCAGAGAGAGAGAGAGAGAAAGGGGGGGGGGCTATCCAAACAAATGGGGCAGATTTAAGGCAGCCCAGAAAGGGAAAGGCAAGGCAGAATGGGTTCAGAGTCCGACACTTACCAAAGCCATCAATGCTGAGGTTTTGGTTCATCACCACCTCCAGCAAACTTTCCCCTTCTTTCGCCGTGACCGTGAATTTCTCCCCATCCCGGTTAACAAAATGCAGCAGCACTTTATCAGTAGAACTGTGTGGGGAAGCGAGAGGAAAGAGAGGTCACCAGGAGAGGAGAGAGGGGAGGTGAGAGGAGGGATGCCATAAGACAACACAGCAACGTGAGATGCCTCCCAGGACCGCCCCCCTCGAAAAAGGTCAATGCATTCTATACTATGTGCAAATGGAGGCATGAAAGAATGAACTAAAATATTTAAATTTGACGAGGTGGGTAGAAAAGCTTCTTTAATTACAACTCACAAGATTCTTCAGCCCACTGGGTTCTTGGCTATGATCTCTGGAGGATTTGGGGAGCTGTTTTCGCCACAGTCCGGATTTGAGCAACCATACCAGTTGTTGGCTGATCCAAACATTGGTGGCTCCAAAGCAGTGGCTTCCCCACCTTGGGTCTCTCCAGATGTTCTTGGACTACAACTCCCAGAAGCCTTCACCATGACCTCTGCTGGCCGGGGTTTCCAGAAATTGCCGTCTTAGACCATCTCGGGAGACAAGATGGGGAACCACTGCTCCAAAGCATTGACAGGCCAAGCAATGAAGAAACCCCCAAATTTACAAAAACCCTCATTCCCCCCTCCCAAAAAAACCTCCCCAGAATTAGTACTGTTTTTAATAGCAGAGCTGGCTGAAGATGCTTTGTTAAAGATCAGAGGTTAGTTTCTGGGGGGAGGGGGGGTTTGAGCCTTCAGGGTGATTGATCTCGGTCATGAGCCTGGGCTTGTCTTTGAAATAAATCGCAAATAATCTCGCAGCCTTGAGCTGCCCGAGAGGAGACTGTGTTCCTTCCTTCGCTCTGCTCCGGAGCAGCCTTGGCATTCCTGGGCTGAGAGTAGGAGAGGACGTTCCTTTCTCCAGACTCATGAGAAAAGAAGCCGCAACCGGGATGCGACACAGGGCTCTTCCCTGTTTCTACTGCAGTACAGCAGGTGTGAGAGACACACTGTACTCATCAGCTGAATTTAGCTGCAGGTCGGGGCGCAGGAGGGGGGCTTTGCCATTGCCAGCATCCCTCTGCTTCCCCTCCTGGAGCAAAGACAGAGGGGCCACGGAGCCCACGTGGCTGCCTGCTCTCTCCTGGCGGAGGACGTGGAACCCTTGACGTTGTGTATTTCGGAGTGGCTTGCCTCTGTGCCACGTCCTTGAAGGCTTGTTAGACCCAGCTGATCCCAAATGCAGACATTTCTGGCCTGGGAAATGCCTCTTTGGACGTGATGGGGCCTTCCTTCTTTTTGTGACAGATGATACCTGGCTGGCACCTGTAGCCGGATCATAAAGGTCCCGCTCGGAGACAGATCAGGGCCGGGCTGGAGCGCCTTTCCTCGTGCATCGTGTGCTCAGCAGGAAATAGATGGTAACAGACTTCTCCACAAGCGGTCGAAACCGTGATCTATTTCCCTGTGTGATCACCCCGAGTTGACTGGCTCTCTGGCACGGGCGATGGTCAGCGCACCCCTTTCCGCAGCCAGGAGCCAGAGGAGGGAAATGACAAGAGATCTGGGAACTGGCCACAGAATTATTATTATTATTATTTTTAAGAAAGAACGTGGAGGATGAACAGGGCCTGATCCAGGACCCCAGCAGGAGACTCAGCCTTAAAACTGCCTCTCGTACCCTGAAGACCCTGATCCAGATGATATACTCATGTTTGATCGTCCCTTCAGAAAACCAAACAAAAAACCTCCTCACAAAAACCCTGACATAAATGCCAAGTCAGCTTGCAAGGCATGGACGGTGCTGTGGCTGGTTCTTCTGTCCTACTCGGGGGGAGGCTCTGTGGGAGGTGATGTCTTGGCCCTCGGAGAACCTTCTCCCAGAGGCTGGACCTGCTCTTCGGCCCCTTCCTTGACCCGAGGTCTAACGCCTCCTCCTGCCCTGGGCTCGCCTCCCACCAGCTGCGAAGGTCTGCCAAAGGGCCTCGGTCTCCAGCCCTCCCTCCTTCCATGTCTGCCAGCATCAGCATCAGCATCTTAGGACCTGGCCTGACCCTCGTTCTCCAGCCTTTAGCCGGTGAATATCACGGCTCTGCCTGGAAGGTGGCTTTTCCACCCCCTGGAAGCTGCCTAGTTTTCCATCGTCTTCTCTGTCTCCTTTTATCTAGTTCTTCCGTGGGTTTGCAAGGCGGGCTGAAGGCCAGGGTGGCAGGAAAGGCAGGCTAGTTCTAGCTGCCCAATTGACAGGAGAAAGGCAGGCAAGCAGGCAGGAAGAAGGCTGCAGAAGTGCTCCTCTCCATGGGATCTCCAGAAATACACCAGAGTTGGGCAGGAGACTTACCCTGGATCCCCGGGGACATCTCGGAGCCCGTGGGAACGGCTGAACCACCGGGCCGGGTGCAAGCTGAGCTGGCACTGCCTCCGATGAGCTCGTCCAAGGGAGCCGAGGCCATGAGCTCTGCACACTGCGGGTCCCAGCCGGCTTAACCTGAAAACGCACCAAGCCATGGCTGCAGAGTCAGCTTTCTGATTCCTCTTCTCTCAAGGTCTGCCGAGCGCTTCCTTGCCTGGCGAGGGCAATATAAGCCCAGCTGGGTGAGGGGAAAGGTCTGGGATGGCCTCTCTGGAGGTGGGTGGGGAGGGAGGCGTGTACCATCATCCTACCAGCCCAGCCCCTCCGTATTCAGGCAAGCAAAGTCCTTGACATCCTAGGATCGTCTCCTCTTTGCAGCCCTCATTCCAGCTCCACCGTTCTAAGATGATGAAGGTGATGGGTTCTGGGTTTCATGGGAAAAGCATCGAGATTTGAATGAAATAAAAGAGACCAATAGTGCAATCTGCTAGCTTTCGAGGCTCAGGAGGCCCACTTCATCAGGCTTGTGCCGGAGGAGTCTTGTCCTGAGTGCAAAGAAGTTAAACTGAGTCCCAAACGTGCACAGCGGATGGACGTTGCCTGCTGGTTTTTCTTGGATGCAAGTGAGGAACGAGGCCTTGTCCTGAGTGCAAAGAAGTTAAACCGAGTCCCAAACGTGCACAGCAGACGGACGGACGTTGCCCGCCGTTTTTCTTGGATGCAAGTGAGGAACGAGGCAGGCTGCACCGGAGGTGTGTCTTTAAAGTGACAGCCGAGGAAGCTGTGGGTCGGATCTCACACGGCAGTTCAAGAACCAGTAGATGCGTGCAGCCATTATGCATCTCTCCTTCTGCTTGGCCTTCCTTTGAAACGACACACCTTCCTGTCTGCCCGGGCTACAGGGCGGCACAAGAAAGACAGAGCCCTCCCTCTGGGGTTGGGGTGAACACTTAGGAATGGCGCCGCTGGGACTGCAGCCCTTGCTCGCTTTTCAAGGGGTGCCCGTGTTTCCTAGCCATCCCATGAGCGATGGATGAAACCACACCACACCAGTTGGTGGTGGTGGTGGGGGGAAATGCCCACACCTGCTCCATTTTGGCCACTCAGTTCCTCGTCATAACTAACCCCCCCCTCTCAGACTCAACCCAGCAGAAAGATGGGCCAAAAAACGTCTGCCTGTGGCCACCTGCTGGCTTGGGAATGCCTCTGGATGGAGATGGAGCGCATCCCACTGTCAGAAGTCGGCCGGCCCCAAATGACATGGAATGGAAGAGTGCCTGATGATGTTAAGGGAGATGGCAGCCTCTTCCACTCGGGAGAAGCTGGTCTGCGGCCGCTCTTCCTTGCGGGCTGGAAAGCAGAGCAGCCCCTCCAGGAGGACCGAGGAGCTGCATCCGTGCTGGGTTGCAGGAGGCATCCCGGGGTCGCGGGACATCCACTGCTGGCCCCCACCCTCCCGACATCCCGAGGGGCATCGAGAAGGCCCTCCAACTCGTCTCCTCCTTCCATGAGCTTTCAAAAGATTGAGGACACTTTGTGACCCCTTTTGCAACATGCCTAAGGATCCTGGCCCTCTTTCAGAATAGGCACACATTGGGGGCCCACCTGGCATGCCCGTGTGTGGACCTGTCTTTTGTAGAAAGTAACTGTACAGTTCAGTGCAATGCCACACCTCAACAAAACGACATCCTAGCTACGTGAGAAAGGGGAATACATCCAGACCAATTAAACCGGACACACGCTCAACAACCCAGTAATGCAAACAATATGCTGTTTGTTAGTATTTTCGTATTTAAAAAAGGTATCGAAAGGCAAACTTGGAGGTTATAAAAGCTTTATAGGGCACCGTTAGCAAAACAATATCCTCCATGCAAGAGGTTAAAACAGGGGAGGCTGAACGCAGGGGCAACGGCCATTTGTTTGAACAGTCGGACCATCTTTGCCCATGTATGTAGAAGTTAATTAATGGGTTCCCCCTGACATAGAAAAGGAGTGACCTTGGCCACAGGACTTTGAGCAGAAATTTATGGCTTGTTCTCACACATAAGTCACAATCCCCCACCCCGCAACGAGTTCGCAAGAGGCCTTGACGTGGGAGTCGAGATGCTCTTGAATCTGCAAATACGTTGAGCGCTGTTTCCACTTAAATGGTGCTAAACATAAACAGAACTGTTTTTTTTTTTAAAAAAAAGTTATCCCAGGAAGGAATGGATGCTAAGCACAAGAAACACAGATTTTTTTTTTAAAAAAAATGGAGAATGATAAAACTACAGTATTGAACTGGACCATTTATTTGGAATGTGGAAACATTGTGCTTCGGTAAAAGCAGCTCCCTTAATAACCAGACCAATTTCCACACAAGAAACTGGCAATTTATTTGAGATTGTAAGGGGTGACAGGAGAGTCTCTCTTGTTCTTTTATGGAAAGAATCATAGAAATAGTTGTTGTGGGTTTTCTGGGCTCTTTGGCCGTGTTCTGAAGGTTGTTCTTCCTAACATTTCGCCAGTCTCTGTGGCCATGGGCATCTTCAGAGGACAGCACAGAGGACATCCAGAGCACAGAGTGCTGCCCTCTGAAGATGCCGGCCACAGAGACCGGCGAGACGTTAGGAAGAACAACCTTCAGAACAAAGAGCCCAAGAGCCCGAAAAACCCACAACAACCATCAGATCCCGGCCGTGAAAGCCTTCACAAATCATAGAATAATTGAGTGAGAAGGGGTCTATAAGGCCAATGGGTCCAGCCCCCAAGGTGTACTTGAAATAGCCTGGACTTCTTGGTTCTCACAATATTTTAATTGCTGTGCTTGTTAAAATCAAGTTTAAAGTAGGGAATGGGAAGAAATTGTCAAATTAGAGGAGGAAAGATCTCCAAGTTGCCTGGTGATGCTGAGTACGTCATTTAAATTTTTTCCCCAAGGATTGCCTTATTTGTTGATTGCTACCCTCATCATTGCATCACGGACTGTGATTTAAATGAAATAACTAAGAGTGGGTGGATGATGTTTCCAAATGCTCATTCACAAAACACTCTGCAAATTTTGTTATGGAGCCTTCCCTAAAGCTGTGTTCCTGGGAATGAAAAACATCCTAACATTTCTCCTGTGTTGAATATGGTTTAGAAAATGGAATTTTTCATGGAACTTGGCTTTTCCATGTCTTGAAGAGGTGCCTCTCAGCTTCCTTCTGCAAATGGCCTGGGAAATAGCCGTGGAAATCTGGAAGCAAGACTTGAGTCGTCAGCTGAGCAGCCGAGCTGCTTATCGCACTGGTGAACCTTGAACTGAAATCACAGAGAGATGGATGCACAGCAAGGTTATGGCCAAGGACAGCCCGCAGGGTTGGCAGTCCTTTGCTTGATCATCCCGGAAAAGTGGCTCAATCTCGGAACATGCCTGCCGTTAGGCATAGGGTTTTTGGATTACTTTTTAAAAAAAGACTACAAATCCCATAATTCTCTGTCCTGGGAGTTCCACGGGCTGCACAGACACCTCAGTGTGGCTCGCCTAGAAGAAAGGCCTAAGATGAAAGGCTTTGTGACTTAGCTAGGCCTGGTCTGCCTAATTTCCTGCCCAGAAAGGCAGTTTCTCCCAATGTCAGCAGGGAGCTTCCTTTCTGAACAGGAAGCCTGGGGGAACTAGGCCGAGGCAGGCCACAAAGGCTTCCAACCTTAGGCCTTTCTTCCAGGTGAGCCACAGCAAGGTGTCTGTTGCTCAGGTGGAACCTCCAGAATAAGGAATTTTGGGATTTGTAGTTTTAAAAAAATCCAAAAAAACCCCAGACCTACTAGCTATCAGAGTGAAAACTCCCCCAACCCTATGGTCTAAAAATATTTCCAAATTCCACTGTCCTTGGCACCCTTCTCTGGGTGAGATGAGAGTTCAGATCACTTGTGGAGTACAGCAGGGAAGCAATCCTGATGGCAGCTGGGGAAAAAAAATCTCATTTCAGGGAAGCCTTTTGTTTACCTGGAATGACACGTCTTGCCTCGCCACTAGTGGGGATCCTCAAAAAGAAAAGATTCCCTCCAGCATTGGAACAGGCAAAATCGAAATCCATCATTGCTTTGAACGTCTAAATAATTTGGTGCTTGTTCAGGATAATGAGACGCCGTACTTTTAACTTCCAATAAATAAAGAAAATTTATTTGCATGTCCTGAAAAATCTCCAGAATTGTAAGATCTGGAAACATGCAACTTTGCACCATTCCTATTGGTTTCCACAACTTAAATAACAGGATTGTCTTCAACTCTGCTGGAGAATGTACTGTATTTTTCGCTCCATAAGACGCACCTTTCCATAAGACACACCATTTTTTTAGGAGAAGAAAACAGGAAAATATAATGTTTTCTTCGCTCCATAAGACGCAGACTTTCCACCCCCGTTTTGTGGGGGAAAAGTGTGTCTTATGGTGCGAAAAATACGGTACTTCTCTAAGATATGGAAAAGCCAAGTTCAGTGAAATATTCCTCTTTTTAAAATCATCTGCAACACAGGAGAAAGGTTAGGACGCCCCACAAATCCAGTTGGGATTACTGATAATCAGCATTTGGTAGCTAGTGTTTTGATCATAGACATTCCACGGGTGGATCTACTCCACGTCTTGCAAACTGCAATCACAAGTTCCTTTTTCCCTGGCTAGGAATGAAGTAGTTCATCTATTGTCCAAGTTCTGGCCCAACCTCTTCTATCACAAAACAGTGTATATTCTAACAGAGCTTTCAAATAATGGAAAGAAAAAGAAATGGTAGATTGGAAGATTAACAAGCCTTCCTGGTTGTGCACCAGCTGGATGGCCTAGCGCAGGACTGGGAATCGAAGTGAGAACTCTTAATTAGCATCAGTTTGCTGCTGTGTGATTGCACTGTTTCCGTTCCATTGGTGTTAACTACTGAACAGGATTGGGGCCGCAGTTTATTCCGTCTGAATTTACAAATTGCCTCTTGGAACAGTAGAGAAGGCATTGTAAATATTTTGTCTTCTTTAAAAACAAAAAGTGTCGGAAGCAAGAAATAAAATCTTGCATGCTGTCAAAACCTGTCAGCCGGTGAAAAGGCGTCTTCTCCCTTCACACCTTTAAACCCAGGTGTCCCAGCCGTGGCAGTGATGGTGGGGGCCTTCCAGGAAGATGTGCAGAACGCTGGAGCATCTGAGGCAAGGCCAGAAGGTCTTCTGTGAAGGCCGTTCAGGGCCACGTGCAGGGGGTGGGGGGTCTGTTCTTTCTCTCCCGGAATCCTTGGAGTGCCAGGCATGCATTTGCAGCTGTAAATTACACCCTCTTGTTTTCTATTCCCCTTCCTCTCCCCCTAGGGAGAGGCAGTTTTCAGATTTCTTTGGCAGACTTGATCTCTGGGATGGCACCGATTCCCCATGAAACCCTTCCTCCTGCTTCCTTTCTCCCTTCTTCCACCCCTTTAAGGTTCACTGGACTTTCTCTAAACAGATTGATTCTCGGATGCCCTCTGGTGGCTCCGCAAAGCGCAGAACTGAAAACACCAGGACCGAAAACGGATTGGGGCGGAACGACATGTCCCCGAAGAACTTAAGTAGGACGCTGTAGATTTCCACCGGAGCATTAACACATACTAGGCCAAACTGCTGGAGATCATCCAGCAAACGTGAACCTCCTCTAAATAAGTTTTTTTCATAGCCTTCTTGTTCCAAAAGTGATGCGGGCCATTCTGAGACCTTCTACCTCTTCCCTTCCGTTTCCTGGACGCAGAATCAGAGAACTGGAAGGCGTCCCCGATGGCTTTAACCCTGCCCCTGCTGGGACAGCAGAATCCATTCGGAACTTTTCTGGAGAGGAGGCATGGGCCTCCAACCCCCAAGTCCCCATTTCTGATAATAATTATTTATTTAAAATATTTAACCCCACCTTTCTCCTTAAAAGGACCCAATAGCAGAACATGTTTGATCCCACTCGGCCTGAACACAGATTACAATTCACTTCTTACACGGATGTATTTGGGAGGTGCCAAGGATCGAACCGGCAATCTGATGCACACAGAGTAGGTCCTCAACTTCTCGGCTAGTGAAGCGCAAGGTACACTGAAACCGCAGGAAGTACTCTCGACAACAGCTCCTGAGGTGCGGATGATGCTTTCCATGTGTCTGCTTTGAAGCCCCAGTAATTATAAAAGGCAACAGCCCCCCCCCCCGCTTGAGGTGTGGATGACACTTTCCATGTGTCAGCTTTGAAGCCCTAGTAATTATAAAAAGCAACAGCCCCCCCTCCCTGGCTAAAGATAACGAAACAGGCACTCAAGCTGGTGAAACGGTTGGGAAGCTATCCAAACATGTGGGAGTTTATATCTAAGATTGTACAACATGGCATGACCCAGATCACTTTTGGGAAAACAGATAAGCAAAAAGAGTATGTTCGACTCTCTTTATTAGAATTGAGCTATCTTTATATGCCCACAGATGTGAACCCATAACATCCATCTGGACCATGGTGTATGTGTGTGGAGTTACCTACTGGAAGTTCTTTAAAACTTCACCTCTAAGAAAAACCATCTTAACATGTTTCCTGGGCCTCTAGAAGATAAGTGTGGAACTTGCAGGCAAATCCCTGAGACGAGAGATCTTCTACTATTGTCTAAGGTGCCCTCTGATCCAGGAGGTTTCGTACCTGAAGGGCTCTCTGTGTATAATATAATCATCTTGGACCGGCAGAGCTGGGAAGGGCAACCGTATGGACCATCGAGTCCAGCCTCTCTTGAACTCCCAACCTCTGGGTCCGCGGCCAGTGTGTATAATATAACCATCTTGGACTTGCAGAGCTGGGAAGGACGACCGTACGGACCATCGAGTCCAGCTTCTCTTGGACTCCCAACCTCTGGGTCCGCGGCCAGTTGCCTAAAAACCCATGACCGATCTATCGGAAACGGTCACCAGAGTCAACACAGAAAGACACCAAAGGAGTCCAACTTTATTGGTCTAAACTTTATTGGCACTGAATGGAGAGAAGAGGGTGTGGACTTAACAAAACCCCTTTGAACACACAGCGTCTCAACCGCAAGCGGACCTCTTTTGGCTGCGAGCCACAGCGATCCACGGGTTACCTTGCAGCCCCTCCTCCCCCCCCCTCGGAAGAACTGGTGCTTTAACACAACATGTAAAAAGGTTGGTCAAAATAAAAAAAAAGTTAGACATAATTTACAGCAAAAATTCCAAAACACAAATATAAAGTTTGACAAAAAAAAATGCTTAATAGGGTAAACTCCCCTCCCCCAGAAGGATCGTGTATATCCATGTAATAAGAGTAAACAAACGGGGGAGTGGGGGAGAGGAGAGCAAAAAGCCCTCCATGAATCCTAACAAATAATTAAAAAAAAGTATCTAGAAATCTCATTGTAATACTGAATGCTTCTTACATTAATTTCCTGCAAAATATCATCTCTTTACAATACATTTTTTTCCCATGGAGAAAAGGGGTGGGTGGGTTGTAAATCTCCCCTCCCCTCTCAACACTTCCAAGATTAATATTTTCTAATTGTGCATAGCTAGGAAAAAAGAAAAAAAGAAAAATGAAATCAATATCATTAGATACAACTGGAATACATAATACTGGTGAGACCAGGGAAGAGCTGAACCATCTATACGAGGAGTTAGACTCACTGGCACGGTTGTTTCGACCCCCGGAAGAAAGCGGGCAGCGGGGAAGTCAGGTTGCCAGCCGGAGGAAGGTCGCCGGGGCTCCACGAGCCCGGGACAATGCAAGAGAACGGCCGGACAGCTCGGCTCGTCCATTGCTGAGTGAGCTCAGGGCACAGTGCATTTATTTGCTTATCAGAAAAAGCTCTATTGGGTAGGTCTAAAAAAAAAAATCAGTGTGTACCAAGCACCAGAAATTTCTGTCCTGATTCAGGAATGAAAGGGGAAACAGCCGTGACCTCGCCTGTACATCAGTTCTGACAAATGGTGTGTTTTTTTTTTAAAAAAAGGAAAAAAAGGGGAAACAGCCGTGACCTTGCCTATACATCAGTTCTGACAAATGGTGTTTTTTTTTAAAAAAAGGAAAAAAGTTAAAAGCTGTGGAGTTCCATATTTCCAAAGGGAGGAGGACAAAGGGACTGTCTGTGCACACGGCCAGAGCCCCCGTCCCTCGCTTCCTCAAGGCACATGATGTGGAAAGGGGGGAGAGGAGGGAAGGGGTGCCCCCCCCAAACGCACCCCTGGGCACTTCAGAAGGTGATCTCTGGAGGAGTTCAGAGCATTGGTTTCTGACGCACATCTCCACGCAAGCGATATTGCTCACAGGGCCCACTCCAGAATAAACCACAAGATTTAGAGGCACCTGTGGGAGCCCCAGAGGGAAAATACGGGAACCGTTGGCCCTCTCTTCACCCGGGGCTGACGTTTGCAGTCTCCACTCAGCCTTCTCCAAACGGGTTTTTGATGCAACGCTAATCAATTGGACGCAAGTGGAGAATGGAAGTGAGGGTGCAGGGGAGTGGAGGGAGAGGGCCAGGAGGGCTGGAGGGGCCGCAGAGAGGAGCCGCCTGTGAGCCCACACAGGGGTAGGAAAGGAAGTCAGAAACCCAGTGGCTTCCTTTCAAATGGAGCTCATTTTAAACAGAAGCCTGAGAGAAGCAGGAGCCGCCTGGTCGTGCAAGGGAGAAAACCCAGAGCAAGGAGGGCTCCATCCAGACTTGGCTCAGCCTTGGAGGAGGAGATGCTGGCACTTCTGCTGATGAACGGAGACGGCTCCGGGCCACCCTTGCAGGTCAATGGCCCTGCGGGGAGGAGAGACACCTGGAAGGCTACTGGATGAAGGGTTGGCCACAAAACAGCACCCAAGTCTCTCTCTCTCTGAATTTAGCACCCCTAGAAAAGACGGTCTGCAAACTTCTGAAAGGAAAACCCCAGAGGCTTTCGCATCTCCCCGCTCCCCTTAACAACAGACTAAAAAAGGCACTCCAAACCAAGAGATCCAGCAGCGAAGGCAGAAGAAAATCTCCCCGTCTTTCCGTGGGACTAGCCAGGTGGGGATAATCCCCTTGTCAGCTATGCAAGCAAGGTCAACCCTGCAGGCCACAAGCGAACAGGAGGAGACCACTTTTATAGAGAAAAACACACACCACCCACAACTGCCTTCCTATAGAGGGGGGGGGGAAGGAATACAAGTTTCATAAGGCACCATACGGCTGGTGTTCAGAAAACCCACCCTGGAAAAAAAAAAGGTGATCTGTGCAGCTTTGTGCTTCTCTTGTGGACAGCCACACCTGACCGAAATCCTCTTTCAGACCCTCGGTCCAGCCACATTGTTGGCAAGATCGAGGACGCGGGACAGGTGGGCCAAACTTTCTTCCTGCTGCATATGGCAAAAAGCGACTCTGTAGCCAATGGGGCTAAGAGGGAGCATCCAAACTGCTCTGATCGCGATGATGCAGGAGGCTGTGGATGCTTCCAACCTCTTAGGTTGGTGGCACTTGCACAATACTGAAAAAAAGATCAAAACAGATCTGTCTGGTCTTTTGAAACCTCAGGGAATCTTTTCAAAAGCTTTGGTCTCTAGGAACTAGGCTGGGAATGCCACAAATTTGGAATTCTACTTGCAAACCATTATCCTGCACTACAATTTTTTTCCTAGTCACACAGTGTTAAAACTAGTCTGGCTTTAAAACACACACACACACACGCACACACACACAGAGAGAAAGATCTGAAAACTTCAGCAAAGGCTACGGATTAGTGCTACGCTAGTCTGTGACTCTTCAAATGTTGGCTAGAGACGGGTGGGGAGAAGACCCAGAGGTGTCCGGTGCCCCTAATTAGGCCTCGGCAATTAGGCAGCGGTGGCGGCACTGATGTATCACAAGCCATATTAAACCCACGTGGAACAAAGATGGCTCCACAACTCGGCTTAAGCAAAGAGAGGGCATGGTGCCCAAAATATTTCAATAAGGGACCACAGACTAATTTTTCTTTCTTCCCCGTTTGGTCCTACCCCGAATGACAGCCTGAGCGCTGAACTCTAGGGCAGAACGGTGGTCACGCTCCTGTAGTGGTTCCAGCAGAATGCGGTTACACAGAGAGAAAGGGGAGAAAGGGGAGCAGGGAAGGAGGGAGGGAGGTTGCAGGCACGGCAAAGGCAGGAACGGTTTACATGGACTCAAATTCGTCAATGCGCTGCTTGGTGTTGCCCTGTCGGATCTGGCGGAGGGTCTTGTACTTGTCCCGTCCGAGGCGCATGTTCTCGGCATGGATCATGTCGTTGCTCGTCTTCTTGGTCTCGTCTCGGGCGTTGGCCAGCTCGGACGTGAGAGCCTGCAGAGGGGCAGAGGGGGTCCGTTGGAGGAGAGGAGGACCCTCGAGGGGGCTGGGGTGAGATGCTCCCGAAAGGAAGCTCCCCCGAGTAACACCCTTTATTTCAGGGTGTGCGCCTTCAACCACGCCCAGGCCCTGAAACTGACCACGTTACTCTGGGGAAGAGGACCCAGGATGGCTGGCTTCCTTCTCTTTGTGGGCGCCTTACCTTCAAGTGCTTCTGGACCCGCTCGTTCTTCTCTGCCTCTGTGGTCCGCTGCTCCTCGCTGCGGTCCTTGACGGAGGCGTGCGCCCGAAGCTCCGCGCTGGCCTCGGCAGCGTTCTCGTCCTGCTCGTCGTCGTGCTCGTTCTCCGACTGCATGGGCTCGGGGACGTGAGGGGTGCTCATGGCGGACTTCAGCTCCTCTTTAGTCTTCTCCAGGTCCTCCTGAACCATCTGGGCCTGGAAGGCGAAGAAGGGGCCATTATCCCATCGGTGAGTAAGAGGCAGCTCCCCAAACCGTCCCATTTCCCCTTTTGTCAACTTGGGCTTGGAGGGAGAGTAACATGCTTTTCAGTGGATGAACAACAGGGACTTTTAAAAAAAGAGAACTCTTCTGGTTGAGAGCTCCAAGCATAATCTACTTTGGAATGGCAGCCTGAAACCTGTGGAACTCCCTTCCACAGGAGCCTGTTTTTGGCCCCTCCCGCCAGCTTGTCCTTGCTCGTAAGTCAAATGTGTAGCTACAAACTGATGCTGCATTTCTACTGATGCTGCACTTTTCTGAGTTGTTTTTTAAAAACTGGGGTTTTTTAAACACTCTTTTGGGGTACCATATGTGTCTTTTTAATTTTTCTAATTGTCTTTCACGTTTAATGTTTTTGAAAGTAACCCTCCATGTTTCACATCATTTTAAAGATTGAATTAAATCTTTATCACCTCTCTGGCCCCACTAGGCTGCAACATGTCTGTGAAGTGGGGAGAAAGGTGGAAGAGAAAGGAACTGGAATGGAAATTTACATACATCTGAATCCTCACCCAAAGAATTCTGCTGAGGTTCCTCGAAACCACGGTGAGAACCCTCACAGCCCACCAACGGTGCTCAGCACCGCCCCCCCTCCAATCCTAAAAAGGCCAATCATTTCTGCCAGAAGCCTTCAGTAGACGGACGTTTTCAGGACGTCCAAGACTGAGTGAGATGCTCACTTGTGTGGAATTGGTAAAAATCCTGGCGACCGACCTCTGCAACCCTCCAGCCAACAAACTGGAGCTGGCCTAGAAATTCCTAGTATGCAAAAATCTGAGCTTTTCTACTTCTCTATGAAAAAGAAAAGGGCATCTTCGATTTTTAGGACATGTAATGCCAGCATTTGGAGGGGGGGGGAAGGAAATGACATTTCCAAATGTCTGCCCCACAAGGACAGAGGAGGGGGGCACCCCACCCTGCAGCCTGGAAGGGGAAAGCAAGGGTTCAAGCGAAAGAGAGCAAGACGGCCACCGACTCACTTTCTGCTGCCACTGCATGGCTTCGCTCTCCTTCTTCTGCCGGGCCATTTCTAACAGCGAAATCCTGTTGGTCAGTTCCAGCATCTCACTGGCCTGCGGAAGTCAACAGAAAACCGTCTGTGAAGCAGGGGAGAGAGAGAGAGAGACACCCTCCAGGAAGATGCCCGCCGGTCAACCCCCTGGACAAGCTGAAACCCCATGCAGGCAGGCAGGCAGGCTGGCCCAACCTGGGAATTTTATCTGAGGATGGACGCAAGGCTCTGCGAGAAACCCCCAACAGAAATACTGCTGCCAAGATTTTGGCAACATTTCGGGGCTTGCAGGTTCTTTCTCCGAGGTGTGTGGTTAGGTCTGCCGTGCAACATTTCGAAGGGCAGTCCTTTGAGGGAGAACAACAGGCAGAGACAGGCAGCCAGTCCACCTTTCAAGGAAAGAGGAGCTACTCTGGAATACAAGGCTATCCCCTTATTTGCATCCAGACCATGTTCCTGCGGAGACATGATTTGCACCCTTTACACGTTTTCACAAAACCTACACCTTAGGGTATGAATCCTGACAGCGGAACCTGCATTTACGGACATTCCCCCCCCCCAACTGCCCGTCAGCTCCTTCTCTTCTTCATGTTCTTCACCACCAGGGTTTAGATTCGTTGTAGAAAGACATAGTAGCCCTTCCTCCCTTGTGGTAAGGGATGGCATCTCCCATTATCCCGTAACCTTGGCTATGCTGGCGGGGGCTCATGGGAGTTGGAGTACGGGGACGAATCTTGTTTCTTGTGCCCGTGAGGCTCAAGGGGCAGCAGGCATGATCAGCCAAAGAATGAAGGGTTTTGCCAACGGTGCCCAGACGGGGCCTGGGGGGGGGAAGCAGCCTACCAGCTGTTCCTGGGTCTTCTTCTGATCATTCGATGCCTTCAGCAAAGCCTCTTTGGCCTCCTCGGCTTCCTGCCGCTCCCTCGCCAGCTTCTCGGCTTCTTCCTGAGCCCGTTTCCTCTCCTGCTCGAGTTCGAGCGCTCGGCAGGTCTGCTCCTCCAGTTCTGGAGAGGAAACAGCACGGAGGGGCCTTTTGAGCATCCTCCTGGGCACCCGACCCACCCAACGCACGCCCGCAGGTCACAGGCGGGTCCGGCTTCGCCGCACGCGTCCGGCGCCTCCTCCCTCAGAGGTGCTCCCTCCCGAGTGGAGCCGAGGGGGTGTGTGTTTCGAGCTCTCCTACCTTGCTGGGCTTTCTTGGTCTGCTCTTCAATCTGCCTGAGGCGCTCCATCAGCTCCTCCTTCTCCCGCTCAATCTTCTCCTTCTCCTTCTCTGCCAACTCCCTCTTCTTCTTCTCATTCTCCAACAAAGCCCTGAGAGGAGAGGAAAGGCAGAGGCTCATGCAAAGTCTAGCCCGTGGGTTGGCAGACTTCGGCGTCTCCTTTATAGCGTTCAGGACAGTGAGTTGGCATTTGCCGTTTCTCTGGGGGGAAAAAGAAAGTCTTCGGTCTTCCCCACCAACACTTCCTCAACTCCATGGTTTGCCTCTGCAGGGGAACTCTGTCTGATCTGCATTTTTAAGTGAATCAACTCACTGGGCTTAGAGACCCTCCAAGGCAGTGCGAACACCGCTCAGGATGGCTTACATAATGAGGCAAAGCATGCAACCGATTCGAATAATAAAAGGAAAACAGAACACATAAACACACGAGACAAAAACAGAAAAGGCAAGCTAAGATTTGACACCTGGTCACTTACAATAAGCCAGATCCCATGAAACAGCATAATAACCAGAATGTACCATATTTTTCGCTCCATAAGACGCACCTTTCCATAAGACGCACCAATTTTTTAGGAGAAGAAAACAGGAAAATATAATCTGTACTCTTCGCTCCATAAAACACACAGACTTTCCACCCCCCTGTTTTGTGGGAAAAAAGTGCGTCTTATGGTGCGAAAAATACAGGTATATTAGTATAAGAAAATTACTCAGTGGTTTCAACTGCACATCCTGGATGAATGCACAAATCAGAGACCGTTGATCCTCCAGGCTATGCCCTTCTTCAGAACGTCACCATGCCCGTTCTCCGATGGGCAGAAAAATAAAGGCAAGTCCCCAGCAAGCCCACGGGGTGACCCAGGCTGACTTCCAAGACTTGCTTTCGCTTCCCCAACCCCACCCTCTCTCGTCCAGGTCAAGGAAGCTTCCCCTCCTTTCCATACACCCTACGGCCGCACGCAGGCACGCACCTCTCCATCTGTTTCTGGTGCTTCTCCTCCCGGGCCTGGGCTTTCATCTGCTGCACCTCAATCGTGTCGGGCTTGCGCCTGCGCATGTAGAGCTCATGGTTCCCCATGCAGAGGGCCAGGATGCGCTTGTTGATCCTTAGCCGGGGGGCATAAAATACAAAATCCTGGGTGGGAGAATGGGAAGTACTCGATTAATGATGGGCGCCGCTCACAACCCTTCCCCTCAGCCTGCAGGAGCAGCTCCAGGCCCACCGTTTGTGCAGGAATGCTACGCCTTCGGTGACTCAGTGTCACAGCATTCCTGAGCTTCAGAGCGGTCTTCAGCAAGGCTGGCAAATCCTGAGCCGCTCCATGTGCCCACCTGAATCACAGAATAGGGCACAACATTGCAAGCAACAAAACAGGCCTTACGGGAGCTTTCTTGTCAATGGGCTTGATAACAAACTTCTTGTCATTGAAGGAAATATTCCTGATCTCACTCCAGGGGAATCCAATCTTTGGTGTTAACCTGCAAAGGAGAGGATTCGCCATTTCAGAAAGCAGAGCCAGCTAAGAGCACCCGCAGTGCTTTGACAGCCTGTTGACATTCACACCATACAAATAAATTATTTCCCAGCAAGGAGAGCTTTGCAAATTTTTGAAAAATGGGATCTAAGGAGAGATACTGTAGTGCAGAATCTATCTAAACCCAAGTCTATTCTTGATCGCCCCAAAGTGCAAGACATGTAATCATGGTACAGGAAGCCAGATTTAGGCTGAATATCAGGAAGAACTTCATAACTGTTAAGAGGAGTATGATGAGGGAGCCCATGACCTCAGGAGGTGATGAACGCTCCAACGCTGGAGGCCTTCAAGCGGAAATAGGGCAACCCTCTGTTAGATCCGCTTTGATTTGGATTTGTGCCTTGAGCAGGGGGTTGGATTTTATGGCCTTAAGAGTCCCCTTTCTGGATCAATCATTCTAGGATTCTTATATTCAACAAGGAGCAAGAGGAATAAAACACTCAATTTAAAATGCAACATAGATCATGGGGGAGAGTGTAGGAAAGCTGTTGTTTTTTCTGATCTGTCTGCCAGCTTCCAGAAACCATGGAAATCATCAGGGTTCAAAGAGGACCGCTGGTCATTCCCATACCATTTCCCACCACCCAGATCTTCTCCCCACCCCTTTCCTCAAGGAAGATTAGAGGTTGTCTCCTCACCGGTCAGTATGCTCATAAATGTTGAGCCCGAGGGCATCTACTCCCAACCAGAGTTCGGAGCCCTTCTTGTTCTTAATACTGAAGTAGTTCACGCCGTACATCTCCAGATCCTGAGCAATTTTCAGGTACTCCAAGATGGCATCTTCTCTGGAAGGATGCAAGAAAGCAAAAATGGTTTTTAACACTTCACCCATACCTGGCTTTTCCTCCAAAGAGCTCTGAGTGGCCCTGGCCCTATTTTATCCTGGCAGCGGGTTGGGTCAGATGGAGAAGGATCCTGCCCAAGACCAACCATGAGGTCAAAGAGACTAAAAGCTGGGTCTCCCAAGCCCTGCTTTGATGGGGCAAGCCCTACAGCGTATGGGATCTCTCGCTTTCACATCTGAATCAGACGGGAGCATTCAGACCCTGCTTGGGGGGGGGGCTTTAATTGTGTCCCATCCTGTCTGTTTTCTCTGCCTCCCCTTCTTCCCAACTGCAATAGGTGGGGAAAAACTGGGCAGTCCAGATGGCCGAGGAGACACAGAGAGGGCTTGGTCAAAGAAGACATGTCCAACCACATCGGAGGCCACCATTGGCTTTCTCTTGGCCTTACCTGAGCATCCCCCGGTGTTCTTCATGCCACACCTGGATCCTTTCTTCCCACTGATCCTTGTTGAGCTTGTGCTGTTCCAGGACCCTGGAAGCAGAGAGGAGGCAGCAGACGGGTTAAGCAGGCAAAGCCTTTCTGCACACACGCTGACGGTGGCGAGACAGGCCGTTGAACCACCCGGAGATCACGTAGGGAGAGCGCGAGAAGCCGGGGCTCTCGTCCCAAGACAGGCTGGCCTCCTCGTCCCACCCTTGACCGCGCACGCCAAGAGCAGAGCGACGCCTCGAAAGCCGGCTTACCTCTGAGGGAGCAGCTTGTCGCCCGCGAGGTAGCCGGGCTTATGCACCTCTTTGTTGTAGTCCCCGTACTTGGACTGGACGGCGTACGAAGCCAGGAGCACGGCAGTCTCCGGGGGGCAGTAGATGTCGTCGTTCAGGATGGCCTCCTTCACTTGGAGGAAGAAGAGGCGCTGCGTGATGTCTTGGATCAGCTCCTCCGCCACGTCCTCCGGGTAGAATTTGGCACGGAATTTGAAGAGCAAAGGGCTCTCCTTGCGGACGTCCTGCGCCGTCACCTGCAAGGAATGGGTCACGAATGGATCCGGTTTCCGGAGGGTTTTCCTCCTGAGGCTCCTTGAAGGCTTAAGGCTTGGTTGTGAAGGGGACCCGGGGGGGGGCACCCAGTTCTACCCACGCGGGAGGGCCGGAGGGAGGTGAAGGGTCGTGAAGGGGACCCAGGGGGGGGCACCCAGTTCTACCCACACGGGAGGGCCGGAGGGAGGTGAAGGGCTGCCCAGGGTGGAGATAGTGGTGGGGGAGAGGCCATGGATGAAGGCTGGGCCATCTCAGTGCCCCCCGGGTTGCCCTGTTGAACTGGAGATCCCCCCCCTCAAAGTCCCCAGAGGGCAGCATGGGGGGGGGGGAAACACAAAACAAGAAACCCAGAGATGCTTCTCAGTATGACTTTCCTTCAAGGGGGTCCCTTTCCTGGAGGGCCCACCCCCCCTTAAACCCCCCCAGGGCTGAAACACAGAGCCCTGCGGTTGTTCTGAAGGTGCCCCCACCCCTCTTTGGGGAAGGCAGCCCAGAAAGCGATGGACAGGAGGTAAAAATTAAAAACACAACCTTCAGTACCTTTTTGTTCAATTTCAGCCAAGTGGAGAAGCCCTTGGTATCCTGGTATTGAAGTCCAAAGAACCAGACCTCTCTCAGGCCGATGGTTTTCACCACCTGTCCAGGGGAAACAAAAAAACAAAACACACACACAAGAAACAAGGGCGTTAGTCAGAGTTTACAACAAGGGGGGGGGGGAGCTCCCTGACCCCAGAAGAAGAAGTTTTCTAACTTTCTGCTCCTCTGAGGGCAAGCTCCCTGACCCTAGAAGAAGAGGTTTTCTAACTTTCTGCTCCTCTGAGGGCATAAAGAAGCAGGCAAAGGAGAGGAGAACCACACAGACCCAAAAAAGAAAGAAAGAAAGAAAGAAAGAAAGAAAGAAGCCTATTTCCAGCCAAAAAGGGAGTTGCTGAAGAGGCAACCCAAAAACAGCCGTGATGGGAATGGAAAGGCAAGGAAAGGCCAGTCCTCCCCACTCACCTCCAAACACCAGGGTCCCGATCCTACGCCACCCTCCACCACCTTCTACTATTGGTGATCAAAGAAATACTGGAGATCATTAATTTGATTTTTTTTTGACCCATTGCATTTTCTCTTTGTGAACCTCTCTTGGCCAGCCCCCAACTATTCTTGTCATTTCCCAGTCTTTCTTAAAAAGTCATGGCATTTTTAGGGCTCGTGTCTTATAAGATACCTTTTCTGAATTGTATGGTTATTCTCGTTGTTATTACGTCATTTTATCTTCGCCACTTGTTAAGCAGGATAAAAATGTAAGTAAGCAAGCAAGTAAGCGAGTCAGTAAGTGAGTAAGTAAGTAAATAAATAAATAAATAAATACACCGTGGCATTACTGGCAGCCTTCCAAACAGCTGTTGAGTCAATGAAAGCCATCAACTGCAAAAATCCACATATCTATGCTCTTCGACAAACTATTGATTTATAAGTGTATTTCTTAAAAATAAACCAATACTGTATTGGTCTATAATGGCATAGAGGCAGGATTAATGGTGAAACACATTTCCTAAGCACACGGGGAGGCAGTAAGGGAACCCCACGGTGGAAATCTTTTTCACCCTCTCCTGCTGGGAATGAAGGCGAGGAGAGTAGAACGGACTCCGGTCACGAGCGATTTCTGCAAAGGGTGAAGTGCTCTCCTTACACGCCACGCTTAGATCAGGATTTGCAACGATGGTTGTTATTTTTTTTTCCTTTAGAGCCCGCAAGCGTTGCTGGGTTTTTCTGCACTCCTGGCTGAAGGCCGAACGTTCCGGAAAATACCCAGCAACGAAATGCTGCGACCTCCGCTCGGTCCCTTGCGGCCGCCCTCCCCAGCGGCTGGGCGTCTTTTCATTCCTGCCAAGGGCAGCTCGGGGATCAAGGGAGCTCTCTCGCTCCCAACCAGCCTCGTCCAGAAGCCCCAGGGCAGAAGGAGTTTCACACCACAAAGCTACCGGGGGATCACGTTGAAGGAGGTGACCCAGGCTTGCCATTTTTCCCCACAAGAAGAGGAAACAAGGTCTCTAGAGACTGAAACGCAATCTCCCCGAAATGGTTGACGGAGGTGATGATTTCCGCTCTTGCACAAAAGTGGGGAAAAAATCATACCTTTTTTTTCACTTGTTATGTGCCCTCAAGTCATCTCCGACTCATGGCAACCCTATGAATGAGTCCTCTCCAAAAGGTCCCGTCCTCAACAGTTCCTGCTCAGCTCTTGCAAACTCAACCTGTGGCTTCATCGAGGGAGTCAATCCATCTCCCATTGGGTCCTCCTCTTTTCCTGCTGCCTTCCCCACCTTTTCCCAGCATGATGGTCTTTTCCAGAGAATCCTCTTGGCTTCTCAGGAAGTGCCTGAAGTTAGACAGACTCAATTTCAACAGTTTTGCCTCCAGAGAGAGGTCAGGATTGATTTGATCTAGGACTCACTGGCTCATCTTTCTGGCAGTCCCGGGGATCCAGAAAGCCTTCCTCTGGCACCCCATTTCAAACCAGGAGCAGAAGGAGCAAAGTGTCCTTTTGCTGGAAGCTGCTCCCGCTAAGCGGCCAACGTTTCAAGAAAAGTCCCTTCCTGCTGATGCGAAAGTACTGAGTCTCTTAGCATTGACTCCACTCACGTTTTTTTCAAAAAGCCACACACACACACACACACCCGTTGTCAGAGGGCAGTGGCCAGAATCCTCCCCTTGGGCTTCCTACCAAGGCCGTTTACCCTAACGACTGAATGCAAAACCGCTTTCGGCCACTCCAAGCAATCTCAATGGCTTCCCGTCTGGCAGAGAGATGTTTCCCTGCACGACCCAAGAGGGTATCCAGAGGAGGCCCAGGGGGTGGAAGGAGAAGGGCCATCTGGCGCGGCTGGAAGGAACGCAGAGGCCAAAGATCCCTCCACGCCACTGAGGTGTCACAACAAGGTGCTGAAAAACAAGCAGCGGCCAAAGCAGGGCCCAGGAGGGGGAAGTGCCTTTCCAGAAAGCCGAGAAATCAGAGGGAGGCAGCCCTCTGACCTCCCTCCCGACAGCCCATGCAGATGTGTTTGTTTGTTTGTTTGTTTAAATGTTTGAAAAGGGTCAGCAAGAAGACAGGACCCTTTCCTACGGAGCCCTTTCCTGCCATGGAGGCTTTACTGAGGTCTGTCAACAGCTTGTATTCAAGAAATGGAATAGAATGACTTTAGAAGGGCAAAGCAGGAAGGGACCCTACGGATAAGCCCGGCGGGGAATCGAACTCCCGACCCCAAGAGACCTAAGCCAGTCTTGTTCTTAGCCTCCCCCCTAGGGACACAACTCTTGACCTTTACGGTGCCTTGGGCTTAGCTGGGATGGGGGGGGGAGGCTGGGGGTCTCCACTCAGCCCACAAACCAGCTCTCTTTACTTTCCCATTCTAGTCTCGGCAGCGCAACGGCACAAGGACGGTCTGGCGAACGGCGTCCCCACCGCATCCCCCCCCGGCTCCACCTGAACTCTCCCTGGTCACTATGAACATCTGGGAGGGGCGGCTCTGGTAAGGGACTCCGGGGTTTCCCAAATGGGAGGAAACTATCAACTTGGACCCCAGGTCTCCCTGAATGCTGCTGAAGAACCCTGAGGACTACGGGGCCAAAATAAATAAATAAATAAAAATGACATTTTGAAAAGCCACTCATGACCTCTTCCACTGCCTGATTTGACCAGCCATAAAAATGAAAATTTTGAAAAGCCACTCGTGACCTCTTCCACTGCCTGATTTGACCAGCCAAAGTCCAGGGGATCAGAAGGCAGAGGTGAGCCACCGCTGCCTTTATGTCACATTTTAGGGCTACCCCTGCGTTATCCCGACAGCCTGACTTGCACGGGAGCAGCATTGAAAAGAGGTTTCAACAATGCTGGTGGCAGGGGAGAAAGAAAGAGCAGAAAGGCCATTAGAGACCAGCTGTTTTTATTTTTTGTCCTCTGCCCGGACAGGCTAGGCCAGCTAGAACATTCAGCCGGGCAGCACAAATACAGTAGGGAACAATCGGTTTTATTGCCCATTGTGGCCGGAGCTGAATGGGTTGTTTCCTCTCCGAATCAACTTCCTCCCCCTTGCAATTGTCCAGAGACAGTTGCTGGACCCCAGGCCCTGCGGTAGGAAAAAGAGCAGATTAGATACTTTATCAAGGTCCTGGCACAGCAGCGGCAGCCGAGGCAGCTTCCAGAATCCCTGACCTCCTGACAAAGGAGGAGACCTCGACACCCACGTCGCCACCCCCAAAGCCTTCCCCGACCTCAGCCGGGAGAATCTCTCTGGAGCTCCCTTCTTCTCTCCGGGGCCACCCTTTCAAACGTCCTCAGAGCAAAATGGTCGAGCCCGCTGTTTTACAGATTCACCAAAGCAAAGCCCGGGAGGGATGAACAAACAATTCCTTGCTCGGATCTCAATTCCGTAGCAAACGGTCTGCAACAGCCTCCACGCAGCCACCCCTGGGAGCCCAGGAAAGGGTCTCCCATCAAGCCAGACCCTCGGTCCGTCTGGTTTAGTCTTGCCGACTCTGACTGGCAACCGAGGGTTTCCAGGCTTTCAGGGGAAAAGTTCTCTCACCCATTCCCGGAAATGCTGTCGGACCGTCTCGGCCTGTGCAGCTGTGAACACATCTTTATGGGAAGTTCTTTTGATCAGGTGGGAAATACCAAATATTTTAATAACTGTTCACAAGACATGTGTGGGCTCAGGGCCATCAGAATATTTCACATGAAGAAGGGAAGGCTCGCCAGAGCAACAAAAGAGAAGTTTGGCTTCTGGGCAACCGTGGGCTCTGAGCAGAAGACCTCCTCTTTTTAAGGCCAGTGAAAGTCCCCGGTCCCCAGTCGCTCTGACCACCAACACAGGTGGCCCCACGTCTACCATCTCGAAAGCAAAACAGCATCGGGGCAAACAGAGCTTGCCTAGTATCCTTGGGGAGAAACCAGAGAGCTATGCAGAAGGATTTCCCTTCCCAAAGAAAGGCCACCCGCACACAACCTTTTAAAGAGATAAATGAGGTGTTTTGGGGCCCTTCTGTCCTCTGTATTTTGCTCAGTCACTGGGCCAGCGTGGGGTGTTTCAGCCATGCCTTTTGCAAGTGGCAGGAGAGGCTGAAGCCTCAGCTAGTGCTGAAGGTGCATCGCCAACCAGAGGATCTGTGAAAATGCTTCCTGCAGCCCCCTGGGGTTACTGTAAAGGATTCAAGCGTCCACGGGCCAGCTTTGGCCCAGGTAGCCGGACATTTTCCACAGGGCAGTGACAACGGTGTAAAAAAGTGTCAGGGGCTGAGCCCTGCGTGCCGCAAAACACTCAGGCAAAAATAAAAGCCGGGTGATACAAAGATTTTCTTTGGTTTCCAAGCCTTCTGACAGGTGAGGGCCGATGCACATTTAGCCCTTCGTATACTGCAAAGAAAGCTCGTCTGAGTGATTTGTCTGTACATCTGGTGGATGCTTTTCAGCAGGGGCCACCTTTCTGGGCAGAAACAAGTGATTCGATGAGCATCCTAGCCACTGGTTCTTAACCTTGGGTTACTCAGGAGTTTTGGACTGCAACTCCCAGAAGCCTTCACCACCAGCTGTCCTGACTGGGGTTTCTGCTTCTGGTCAGAAACAAGTGACTCAATGAGCATCCTAGATGAAACCTTTGGCCGTTTGGAGGACAAAGATCGTGCAGCCCCCTCAGAGCGACACCACTGGTGTGGGACATTTTGGAGAAGCAGGGAGGCCTCCTTGGGCCATCTGCGGCAGAGGGACCGTGCAGCCCCCTCAGAGCGACACCACCGGCGTGGGACATTTTGGAGAAGCAGGGAGGCCTAAGCGCCGCTGTGGGTGAGGTGGCTTTCAGGGGAAGGGAAAAGCAGCGGCTGCACCACCTTCGCCCGGCACGGCCCAACTGAAGCAGAGGACGAGAGAGGGGCTCAAAGTGCTGCCTGTCTTTTTCCACAGAAAACCACCTTTGACATCAGGGCAGGCGTCTGTTTGGACAGATGCACAGAGCAGAGGCGAGGGAGGGAGGAGACCGTATTGCGACAGCTGCCCCACAAACAGGACATGAAAGGATGGAAAAATAAAAGCAAAGAATAAACACTGTGTGCATTGAGACCTGATATTTATTTTTTTCACACATTCTATTCCAGTTCTGAGGTCAGAGCCGATGGATTTGAGTTGGGGACATGGTGGGTAGTGACGGTGCGGTGGTTGCAACTTCTCGGCCAGGAGTTGCAGGTCCTCACTGCAACCGAAGCCCATTTCAGCTGCAGCCCCAGATCCCCAGGAACCTGCCTGTTCCTCGAGGTCATTTTTATGGTTCAGGTAGGACCCAAGACAAGAAAAGGAAGGGGCCTCTTGGGGGCTCGGGATTCCTAGCTACATGCTTGTATGAAGCCCGTCCCAGGCTCCTGCTTAGGGTTAAAATGGAGACAGGACAAGAGCAGGTGGGGCTGAAAGTGTAAAATTGTTTTTTTATGGTTGCCTGCTGTTGTTGCTGTTCTATTTTTAAATTTATATTTTCCCTCTCTGGATTTATTTTGAACTTGCTCTCTAAGTTTTAATTTTGCTGCTTTAGCCACTTTAGAAGTCTTGTATTCCATGAAAAGTCAAAACACTGATTTGTAAAAACCGGAGTAAGCACATACATCTCTTGTATGTATCTGTAGCTGTGCATTGGGGTGTGTGTGTGTGAGTGAATGACAGACAGACAGACAGACAGACAATATAGGAATGGGGTAGAAGCAAGAACACACCCTTCACACAGCACATACAAGGTAGGGGGTCGAGAGCAAAAGATTTCCTCTTATTTACTGTTTTTCACCCCTTCACAAAGGACATCGCACGGCACATACAAGGTAGGGGGTCGTGAGCGAAAGATTTCCTCTTATTTACTGTTTTTCACTCAATTTTCCCATTCGTCTGTGTGACTAAAAATGCAACCACCACCTCCACTGCAGAGCATCAATACACTACAACAGAAAAACATTTCAGGGAGTAAATTGTGATAGAAAAGTTAAAAACCTTCCTTGCTCTGAAGGAGTGGGCCAGCTTTATAAGTAGGTGAAGTAGCTTTATAAGCAACAAACTCCTTGCCTTACAAACCAAACCCAAAGCCTTTGTCATGAAATGAAAATGTGGTTGTGCTCAGGAGCCTCTTAATTGTGTCTTTGGGGGCCACACTCACTGCTACACCAGGCAGAAAGAAATGATCAGGTGACATATTTAACGGAGGTAGGAAATTTGCTATTAAGACAGCAACAATGGAGTTTGCCCAAGTGGTTCTCGGTGAGCGTAACCTGATGGATATATCCTTTCTTCACTGATTTCCATCACCATCAGCTCCATTTGGAGGTTGCCTGATGTTTTGTACTTTACACACTCATACCCACACACAGACAAAAGAAGGGAAGTATAGCCCCCAAGACAGCATGGGCTTGCACACCTATTGCACATGTCTTGGGCACAAGCTATAGGCAGCCAGCTGCTTTACCTGGTCATATGGTCCCCAAGACAGCATGGGCTTGCACACATATTGCACATGTCTTGGGCCCCCACAGAGGGCACAGGCTATAGGCAGCCAGCTGCTTTACCTGGTCAAAGAGCTGCTTCCCCGTCGTATTGGGCTGGATTGCAAATTCCAGCTCGGCATCCATAGTGGTCACGCGCACACTGATCTGGAAGAAAGAGAGGAAAAGAATGAACATTCTGCGATGTCGCACAAAGTCCGTAAGAGTATCTAACGACAAGAGCCACTATGTAGCGAAAGGGTCGAGCGTTGTCTTGAGCATCAAGCTGATGACGGAATGGATTAGCCTCCCAAAATCTGGTTCCCTTGAGGAGACGTGGGATCCACAACTGATTATGGGAGTTACGATTAGAGATGGGCACAAATCAGAAAAATTGTGAGTTGTTTTGATTCGTGATTCATCAAGGTTGACGAATCACAAATTAATGATTTCCCCCCCCCCCGATGATTCAGTTTGTTTTTTCCTTTAATGTGCTTTGGGGGCTGTTTTATAGCCCAATGAACTGACAAATCAAAAATCACTAAAAATTCATTGATTCATGTTCACTGATTTGTATGAATATGAATCAACAAATTCGCAATTTCTGAATGAATTTGGTGATTTTTTTTTTTTAAAAAAACCATGTCCGTCTCTAGTTGCGATTCAAGACACCAGGTTGGGAAAGGTGATGTACAGCAGAAGAGGGGGGGAAAGCAAACTCAGATAGAGCATGAAGCCACTTTAACTATGAAAAGCAATGCCCCTCTATCAGATAGAGAGGACACCAACATTTCTTCCAAGCTGCAGTTCCTTGTTATGTAATTATACAATAGGTTTGTTGCAAGAGAGCATCTGATAACTGAGAAATCAGGCAACATATACAACTGTTAATATTCATCTTTTCTGAGTTTCCAGCTATCGCAGCTATTTCTTTCCCGATGCCATCGATCCAAACCTCTCCAGGACTCTCCTGCCTCACAGGTTATTCCTCCAAAGGGCCATGCAGAGAGAAGCGCAGCTCCATATGGCCACCTGGCTCAGCTTCTTGCCCTCCAGATGTGCTGAACTACCACCGTCATCATCCTCAAGGCTGCAGGGAGAATGAGGCCTTCTTAACAGCCTCAGAAGCCAGGGCTGTCTCTACCCCAGAGATAACAGGGGAGAAAAGAATTCCTGCAAGCCTACGTATGGGAGAACTCATGCCCTCACCTCACACACAACCATGAAAAAAAAAACAGACTCTCTCTGGTCGGAGGGGGCTCGACAGTGCCTGGTACTGCTATCTGCTAAGCCAATTTCTAACATGACTTTCCAAAGAAGCTGCCCACTCTCTGCACATTTTCCAAGCCCATACACACACACGTACGCGTGCCCAGAGACCCCTGCAGCCATGGTAGGCTTCAAAGAACAGCAACAAGAAATCCGCTGAGCTTCAAGCTCTCTTGGGTTGGTGGAAAGACAACAGGGTCTCTCCCCCCACCCAGTTAAACCACTGAGGGAAGAGGCAGCCACCAACCTGGCGGGGCGGCTACTGAGCCTGACTGCTCAAACCTCCTCCTCTCCCAAGGAAACACACGAAGGCCTAGAAAACTGTTTGGGAGCCACCATCCCTCACCAATCAGCCTTACTGCCCAGCAGAGACTCGGCTATGGCTTGTCACATGTCCTGGCTGGTGTCCACCTTCATGGTCTTCCATGTTTGACCCGCCAGATAATCTGGCATCCAACCCCACCTCACCCAACCGCTGGCTACGCCCATCAAGACCTCTGGGAGTTGAAGTCCAAACCATTTTGAGGGCCAGCAGTTGAGAACTCCTGTTCTGCATCCTATAGACATTGCCGGACAGGAGCCGCATACGTTGCCGATGGTGTCAAAATGAATCCTGAACCAAGTGACCAACGGCCTTGGTGGGATGTTGCGCTGTTTAAGGTGTGGAGCACCTCCACTATCAGAAAACGCTCAGTGGGTTGGGACACTGGGTAGAGGAACCAGGGTTCACAGTCCCCGTTGTGGCTCCCAGAGAAACAGCCAACCATGTAGCCTTGGGCAAGTTGCACCCTCCCACGTGTTGTGGCTCCCAGAGGAACAGCCAACCATGTACGTAGCCTTGGGCAAGTTGCACCCTCCCACGACACGCAGAGAAGAAGGGATGTGGTAAACCATGTCTGCCTATTTTATACTTTAAACACCCTGAAAAGGTTCCACAAGTCAAAACCAACAGGACCCCATGAAATTAATACATTTTACAGCCTTGCAATTGAAATGAGGGGACCTGGTGGACCTCCTCCCTGAAACTGGGGAGATCAGCTCTTGCTTGTTCTTCTTTGGCAAGCATAGGAGGAGTCCAAAAAGCACATTGTTTTTTCTTTAACACACACAACAGGCTGATGCTCAGATATTTAGGTGGCCAGGTCATCCGTGAAGAACTTTTATTAAGTGGGATGGAATCTGAACGTCCAGAAGCAGAAGCCACGTAAGTGTGCAACTAATGAAATGCCCCAAACTTCATTAAGATGTATCCACTCTTTTTTTTTTAAAGTCGAAATGCCCATCTGCACATTCAAGGTCTACTAGCTACAACCCCTTCTGGGCAGACGTCAAAGACTCCCAGCCTCGACCCTGTTTTCTGGCCGTCTGCGGGGGCACAGCTGAAGGAAACCTGCTCAAGGGGCCCGGCGCTTTCCCCAGACACCTTTCCGCCTGACTTCTCGCAGGTTTCCAAGGAGAGAGACAGGGAGGGAGGTGTGCCATTCCCCAGCGTCCCCCCCCCAAACCCACGATGGCAGTATACTTACAGACATCTGGCCTTTTCTCCCGTGTCCTCCCTTCCCCTTCTCGGCTGTTTCCCCTGGTATTTTGTGTGTCAAAAAAGAAATCCTGGCTCTGGGTCATATGAGAGCGCTTGCAATTGCTGAAGGGATTAGCTTTAATTAAACCAAACTTCGCTCTGAAGGGGGGCTCTTCCCCCCTCCCCTTAAGCTAATCAGGAAACAGAACGCCAGCCCGAAGGGGCTCCCAGCCTGCCCAGTGTGTTCCCTGTGCCACCGACGGTAGTGAAGACGTCTGACTGAGGGCCGGGGAAGGCTCTCCAGCAATCCAGATGAGGAGCCCTGTTTTCAGTGCCGGCTCTGCTCTCACCACCCCCAGGACCGACCCAATGCTCAGCGACCCAAAGGCGCTGCTCAAGTCGTTTCCTGCAATAAAGCCTCTGCTTTTGATATATCTTTGCGTTCTTTCCTCCTCCGTTTGGTGGAGCCTCTGCTTACTCTGTCCATTCACTCTGCTCATCCTTCTCTGGCTATTACTGAACCCCCCCCCCCTTTTTATGGCCAATGCCATGAACCATGAACGGCAACCTCCCCACTGAGCACCTTTCAAGCACTCTGCCAGCCAGGTGCTGCAGCATCAACCACAAGGCACCAAATCAAGGCAGTTTTGGAATAAATACGAAGGCCACTACTCCATGGCTCCTCTCCCAGAAGGGCTGCACAGGGTTGTCTCTCTGTGCTTTGAATGGCATCACCGGAGAATAAAATTCTAGTGTTTTACTGAGACTATGCGATTTTTGGAGCGCTACCATACCAGGTCTTTCAAGCGATTCTTCTGTACCTCTTGGGAAACTCGTCCAAAGAGTCTCTGTACTTTTTCTGATTGGTTCCCAACTTTTATTAATTTGCTCCGTGTTTGAACCAGAGAGAGTCTCTGTGCCCCCATCAGACGGTTTGGCACCCTGGGATCCAGGGCCGCTTGCTTCCCTCTGGATCTCATCCGAGCCATTTACTCACTGGGAGCTCTTAAGTTGACGGGTAACATATGTCCTCTCTGTCAGCTCAATGGGAGATTAATGTCAACACCACATGGGATGACCTGTGGCAAAAGATCCAAAAACGCAACAACCACAGAATGTTGCATCATCCGGATTAGGTCAGAGCAGGTTTTGAAGCATGCAGGAGAGATGGCTGATGTTCTAGTAAATTTTGGTAAAATCTGAACTGTTTGCAGAGGTCGTTAAAGCTCAAGGGTTTGGCGGCTTCAGATCTGCAGGATCTCCAGGGCCACCCTCTGTATTCTGCTTTTCTCTGAAGATACCGGGCAAGAATCTGAGAGAAGGAGGACCTTGTCTGGAGCATCATCACTCACAACACGGAACTCTCCGGGCTGCCTTTTTTACACTCTTTGTGTGGCCGAGAAGCTTTTGATGGGTTGTGAAGGCAAAGAAGTGAAACTTGATCTTCGTTTGGCATTTTTCTCTCCCTCTCCCCCAACTTCTCTTTCTAAATGAACTTTGTTTTGACAGTTGCACAGCTCCACCGATGGCTTTGGATGGGTTAATTCATAACTTTTCTGTAAGCCACCTTCTTTATAGTGAAAGCTCAGAAAATGCTCCGTAAATACAACGGAAGTTTGAACCAACAAGGGCTACAGATCTGTTCAGCATTAGGAAGCCAAGATTTCAGATTCCTAGGGCTTTGACGGGCAGGCGGGCTGTGTGTGTGTGTGTGTGCGCGAGCCGGAGAGCTCAAACTGACCAAGTACAGTGAATTCTAAATATGGCAAGATTTGGAGTTTCAGAAAGGACTGTTGTGCCTGGATAATGCCAGCATTTCAGACCAATAATACATTTAGAAAGTACTTTCCAAGAAAAAGAAAAGTTGATCCGCTATGTGGGATTTTTATTTTGAATTGTAGCAATGGGCTTGTTTGTTTGTTTTTTAAACTCCTTTTGGAACCTCTCTATCGTTTGATCTGTTGTGTGGACCCAACCTCTGAGCCCCGCCCGGCACTCTTGGGAGAGAGCTGTGTGGTTATGGCACAAGCCAAACCTGCTCAACGCAAAGGAAGGAAGCCACATCCGGTGAAGAGGTGGAATCCTGAGAAACCCAGGAGGGAAGCACTGAGCATGCGACTCTGACGCCACCCCTTTATTTTTAGTCTTTCAGTCACAAGGACACCAGGGGATCCCTATCTCAATCCTACGTGGCCTCTTAGTTTAGGATCTCGCGTGCTTTCGGTGGTGAGCAGAGTCCTTGATGGTGATGGTATCCTGCTTCATGTCAGGATAGCTGGGTGGAGAGCTGAGGGGTTGAGGTCTCTGGCTGCAGAGCCAGAGGCTGTGAGTTCGATTCCCCCCCCCCACTGGGCATCTCCAGAGAGAAGAGCCAGCCTGG